AACAGCCTATATAACCTGCTCCATAAGCGCAGTTGAATTGGTAGATACAATTACGAGTGTCTGGCTAGTCTAGGTACTTCATCTTTCATTCAAGGAACCACCATCGGTCGTGTAGAGAATAAGAATTGTAGTTCATCAGCATTAAAAGTCTTTTGAACTGATTTTCTTAATTTCTTCGTAATTATTTCACTTGGTATATCGCACTTGAATTGCAGTCGTATATGAAGAGGCTTCTTGTTTACGACTGGTGGGTAGTCCTTTTCCGCTTCCTTTGTCATGTGTTCATCCATTCTTTTGTAAGTTTTAAAGGGCATTTTTAATCATTCAAGTATTTGTTTTTGGTGAAAATATTGACAAGTTATTAATCATTAGCAACTGAAGACTATGGCAGATTGCCTCAGTGCATCAGTTAACAGCACCTTCCACTCATTCCAATGAGAAATGATCAGGACTTACAGGAGAGATGGAGAGAGAGAGAGAGACCAGGTGAACACGTAGTGTTTACAGTTAAGCCTCACAAATCACCTGCTACAATGTAGTACTATTAATTCAAAAGCCACTAGTTTGAATCAGCCATCACTACATTATATAAATAACAGTCTACCGGAATAAAATTAGGTCAACTTTGTTTTGATACCAGCCACGGTAGATGTACTAATACCTCTCTTATTTGGTTTAGTGATCGTCATTGTTATTTTAGCATTGAATATATCCTTTTAACTTGACCTGAGTCTATTTTCTTGTGGTGAGAGCAGGCTGCTAGCCGATTGGTTGGCACTAATCTACGTTAAGGTCTAGGTCACTAATATGGGCCGTGAGAAAATATGAACAAGACTGAGTCAACAACCAATCACAGCAAAGTTAACGTGGCAAAATGTGATTCGCAGATAGAGAACTCTATTTGTCAAGGAATCCCGAAACAACCAATCAGAAGCCTGCGTTTGTCTACCTAAAAACAACCAATCAGATGACTGCGCTTGTCTATAATAATGTTGTTGAAATATGTATAAATACGTGTTGATTTTCATAATAAAACGATCTGTTGCCTGGCCCTTGTCTTCTGTTGTTACATTTGGTGTCGCTGCCTACCGACAAATGAAAAGCCTATACCCTGCAGTTTTTGATGGAGACATATGGATCTTCGGGCAGGACTTCAAGGCTTCTGCGCAGTTGAGTGGCGTTCAAGATCTGTCAGCGATGGAGCTGCTACTTGAGACGCTGCTGGGAGGTCGGGCGAAAGCAGCATATGAAGGTGTGGGCCGAAGTATGGACGAATGTTCGACAGGGTCAGGCAAACAGTTTCCAAAGTGGGAAGGACCATATATGGTCACTTCGAGATGGGGTTACGCAGACACAGTCGCAATGGCGAACAATGAGAGGCGCGTGAACGTCAGCGAGCTCCAGAAATGGATACAGCGAGACAAGCCAACGATGACGCCTGCACCAAGTAGATCAAGCCGACTTCAGTCGCACGTATTTGACGGGGGGACGAGTGTGGTGAGAGCAGGCTGCTAGCCGATTGGTTGGCACTAATCTACGTTAAGGTCTAGGTCACTAATATGGGCCGTGAGAAAATATGAACAAGACTGAGTCAACAACCAATCACAGCAAAGTTAACGTGGCAAAATGTGATTCGCAGATAGAGAACTCTATTTGTCAAGGAATCCCGAAACAACCAATCAGAAGCCTGCGTTTGTCTACCTAAAAACAACCAATCAGATGACTGCGCTTGTCTATAATAATGTTGTTGAAATATGTATAAATACGTGTTGATTTTCATAATAAAACGATCTGTTGCCTGGCCCTTGTCTTCTGTTGTTACATTTGGTGTCGCTGCCTACCGACAAATGAAAAGCCTATACCCTGCAGTTTTTGATGGAGACATATGGATCTTCGGGCAGGACTTCAAGGCTTCTGCGCAGTTGAGTGGCGTTCAAGATCTGTCAGCGATGGAGCTGCTACTTGAGACGCTGCTGGGAGGTCGGGCGAAAGCAGCATATGAAGGTGTGGGCCGAAGTATGGACGAATGTTCGACAGGGTCAGGCAAACAGTTTCCAAAGTGGGAAGGACCATATATGGTCACTTCGAGATGGGGTTACGCAGACACAGTCGCAATGGCGAACAATGAGAGGCGCGTGAACGTCAGCGAGCTCCAGAAATGGATACAGCGAGACAAGCCAACGATGACGCCTGCACCAAGTAGATCAAGCCGACTTCAGTCGCACGTATTTGACGGGGGGACGAGTGTGGTGAGAGCAGGCTGCTAGCCGATTGGTTGGCACTAATCTACGTTAAGGTCTAGGTCACTAATATGGGCCGTGAGAAAATATGAACAAGACTGAGTCAACAACCAATCACAGCAAAGTTAACGTGGCAAAATGTGATTCGCAGATAGAGAACTCTATTTGTCAAGGAATCCCGAAACAACCAATCAGAAGCCTGCGTTTGTCTACCTAAAAACAACCAATCAGATGACTGCGCTTGTCTATAATAATGTTGTTGAAATATGTATAAATACGTGTTGATTTTCATAATAAAACGATCTGTTGCCTGGCCCTTGTCTTCTGTTGTTACATTCTCACCTCTCAACTCTTTATTAATTTCATATATATATATATATATATATATATATATTCCTAAGACAAGTCCGTGTGTGCTGGATCAGATTATTCGAATTGTGTTGTGCACGCAAATACATTACACGAATCAGACAAATTACGTCTTTTTATTGCTTGATCTATATCAGCGTAATGATGTCTTCAGGTTGCAGACAGCTGAAGTGATGCTGATGATGTATAACTGATGGTAGTCTCTTACTCTGTACAAAGTCCTGTTCTTGCTGTCTTTATCGGTACGATGATATTTCATACTTTAGTTTAAATACACGTTTGTACATGTTGATTTTAGCAAAGTGTTTCACTTTAGAGTGTATTTTATCACAAACTGACATTCCTCAACCCAAGATGAATTTTGCGAAATTCCAGGGAGTCATTGTTAGCAGCGGCATTCACTGAGTCATATACGTGACGACCAATGCTCACGGATGGCGTTGTTTAACAGTGACACTATATTATGAACTGAGAGTAGTTAAAAATTAGTGGATCACTAAGCTTATAGTCCAATTCTTCGAATCGTAACTTGAATATTTTTGAATCCATGGATTCGCACTACTGAAAATTCGCAATCTTCAATGTAATACATATTCGACTTTTGTAAAAATTATATTTCAGCGAAATTGAAATCAATAATTCCAACATTTCGTTCAGCAATCTGATCCGAACTTCTTCAGGGAAATTAATCGAAATAAGCATAACAAGGGTTTACATTTATAAAAGGACATCTCTTGTATTTTCAAAACTTTGTCCAGTCATATAAGTCATGAAACAGTCATCAACTTGTATAATAAAATTGTATGAACTGTGATCAAAGTTTGACCTCACACTTTCAAAATTAGTCTACTTTCGTTAAACAGTTTAAACAAAGTGTACTTTTAATTATTGAATTGAATTCTTGATTTTCCCGTCGATTGATTGGACCGAAGTGTTCGGTCTCAGGTTGACATGTCGGCTTCTTGTGCAGATGCTTCGACGATGTCTGGGGATTTGATTTGTATACAATTGGTGGATGGTGGCTAGCAGTGGAATCCAGGATGCGCATTTCGTCCTAATTGGGACTCGTCAGCCGGATGTGCCAGTATTCCCCACTGAGTGATGATGTTCCCATCGAGGCTCGAACCCAGATTGTACTTTTCATAAGATTACGTTAAACTAAAAGTTCATGGTTGTAGATAGCTGAATATGAAAAAAGTGGTGTTTATGCTGTATACAATGGTGTTTGTGCGTGTGTGTGTGTTTGTGGGTAAACAGTCATAAAACATTTGTTAGCAACTTTATAATACGATGTAGACAATCGGGAATTTATACCAAGTATGATTAATTGGTGATACATATCCATTTTTTATTTATTAATCAGGATTTGTCATGCATCAGCTAACATCACACCTTCATGTCTGTTCAAACAGTTAGGAATCACCCATATATGTAAGGCGTCCGCAGTCAGTCTTTCTGTATACGAACCAAAACGTTTCCGTAGAACCTCATTCATATCAAAATCGATTTTTCATCCCGTTTCTGTTGAATGCAGTGCACTCGCTGAGTTGTTTCCTAGCTTCTTCAAGTCTGCAGAGGTCTTTGGAACCACCCTAAGACATTGTTTATGCTCTTTCACTCTTACATTTACCTGTCTGGAAGTTTCTCCTACATATACGGAGTTACAATCCCCACAATTGATCTGGTATACGCAATTCTGCTGGGTTTTTTTGTTCTATTTTATCCTTAACCTTTGCCAGTGATGAGCGCAATGTGTTAGTTGCACGGAAATACACTCTTATATCATGATCGTTAAGGATTCACTTTATTTCATCGGATGTTTCTTTGAGGTAAGGAATCACCACTGCACTGATCGGATTCTTTTGGTTCTTCCTTATCTTCACATTTTAAATATCTTCTTATGAAAGCTTTAGGATAATTATTTGACTGAAGAGTGGATTGAACCAATTTTAGTTCTTTGCTAATATCTTCCTCCTCAGTAACTAGACGTTTGGCTCTGTTGATCAGATTCTTGGCCACAGTTACTTTGTGGTAAATGGGTGAGCTGAATGGTAGTCTAGGTATCTATCCGAATTTGTTGGCTTTCTGAAAATGTTTATTTTAAATTTTCCGTCTAATTTTCTTTTTACTAAACAGTCCAGAAACGCCAACTCATTTTCATCGGATTCAACCTCTTTGGAGACCTTGATGGTTTCTGACATATTGTTTATTAAATGGAATCGTTCACTCAACAAACTACGTCTGATTATGACGAAGGTATCAGCCACATATCTTAACCATATTTTGGAGGACTAGATCGATAAGAATTAATTAAAACAATATGTATAGTATTACACAGATAATGTCATACCCAACAGTAGGCATTTATTGTTCAGACAGATCACAGTCGCTTTAGTTGTTTTTTAAATCCACAGTACTGTTCATATTATCTAATCCTGCTTGAATAATATCATCCATGTGATCACCTCTATCTTGTGGACTACTCTAAAATGAAAGGGAAAATATTGTTTTTAAAAAAAGGCAAATTCAAAGGTTGTTTAATTTTTGGAGGGTGACTAGCAATGGAATCCAGGATAACGCATATTTCGTCCAATTTGAGACCCGTCAGCTGGATGTACCTGCATTCCCCAGTGAGTGATGATGATGTTCCTACCACGGAGGCTTGAACCCAGTCCCCATAGTTTCAAAAACGCTAAAGCGTTATCCACTGGGCCACTTGGACTACGAGAGCCACTGCCTCTTGTGCAACGGGTCATATTAATTATTTAATGGTTCACGAGCTTGCCTTTTAACCAGAGGGTCCTGGGTTCGAACCCAGGTGAATTCCTACTGCTGAAGATGTCCTAAACCAGGCTAACGAAACAGCTGTTCAGTACTCTAACTGATGTCAGCTCACGATGAAATCCTCCGACCAATCAAATTTGAATAAGTCATTCAGAAGATGCATTTCGCAAGATGATTGTATCATATTGTAGTTTCTTCACAACCGCTTTACAACTAACATTTTTCACAATAATACCCTAGACCGAGCACTTCAGTCCAGTCAATAGACGGGAAAATCTAAAATTCAATTAAATAATTATTATGACCCGTTGCACAAGAGACAATGGCTCTCGTAGTCCAAGTGGCCCAGTGGATAACGCTTTGACGTTTTTGAAACTATGGGGACTGGGTTCAAGCCTCGGTGGTAGGAACATCATCATCACTCACTGAAGAATGCAGGTACATCCAGTTGACGAGTCCCAAATTGGACGAAATATGCGTTATCCTGGATTCCATTGCTAGTCACCATCCACCAATTAAATTATGATATAAAAAGCATACGAATTACTCAGATATCTACAAAACAAAAGTACATACTAGTGACCAATCATATTTAAATAGGTCAAGCAATCAGTTCATGGTAGGCGAAGGCTGAAGTCCATTGTTTTTTTGTACACACAGTTTAGACTGCATGTGATTAATCCCCCCAAAAGCCACCATCACTTTCAGTGACCTTGACGTAGAGTTATTTGATGAAATAATTGTGAAACATCCATTAATATTGATTTTGTGACCTTGTTGATTTCTAAGAAATCTATCGTTTAACTTACTACATAAGAAAATTGAAAATTTCCAGTGTAATTCAACATTTGGTTGTATAAGATGGTTGGAGGTAATCAGCCACAGGAAGCCTTGCCTAACCTAGGTTTCATGCTAGTTGACACGGAACTCGTCAGCACTCGAATTGAGCTCATTTCCCTTCTGAGATTCGAACCAGCACCACTCAGTGAGTACTGCAGTCAGAGATGTGACCACTGAGCCAGCTATTCGGGTTTGCGATCACTGACCGCCTGTAGGACTGACTCTATTGTATAGTTTGTTTAGACACTAGTAACTAGTGTGATGTGTCTAGTCTTTTGCTTGCTGCTGACTAAATTCTATCAGTCAGCTTTGTAATGTGGCCACCATTCTAGGTGGCTTGCCGTCGTGGTTTATATTGATTTGTTCTACTTATCCTTCTTTATTGTGCCTCCTTACTCTCTCTCTCTCTCTCTCTCTATTGGGTGTCTGAAACGGAACTACATTATACTGTCTGGAACTTTGATGACTGTAGGCAGGGTTGACCCACGTAGCTGATGTTTTATGTGGATAGGCATTTTAATGTTTGAAAGCAATTCGTTAGAATCATCTTGACACCAGTTTGGTAATCTTCCGCACTCAGCCAGCATAAGGAACAAGATTCGTATTTTCAACACATCAATAACAAGTCAGTTCTTCTATACGGGGTAGAAACTTGCACTGCATGTCAACGACAGGATTTCCAACAGGCCTGTTGCAAACTGTCACCAACACAGCTGCTGCCTTTGCTGGCTCTATACTGAAGATCAAATGACCAGAAAGAATACGCAACACAAGAAACTATGGGAACAAGGCAACAGGCAAGAGCCAGTCACTCAAGAAATATTTTGGGATAAAATGGAGATGGATCGATCAGACATACTTTGAGGAGGCCTCCAGATGAAATCGTACTCCAGGCCCTAGGAAGGAATTTTAAAAGGGAAGCACCAACAACTCGTTGGTGCTAGAGTGATATGCAGGAGATTATTTGAGGAAGATAATGAGAGAATTTGGTCAATTGTGGGGCCAGCTAGAGAGGATGGCAGAAGATAGAACAAAGTGGAAACATGTTGCTGAAGCCCAATACTTCACTCGGAACGCAAGGGAATAACAACAACAATAATAATCTTGTCGAATACTGATCAAATGACAGAGAAGAGATTATAAATCAGATCAATAATTTTTAAATAAATTCCAATCTCACTTCATTGAGACAACACTTCATCGCTACTGAATCTTCAAAGCTTATATAGCAGTCAGAAGGCAAGAATAAATAGGGAAAGAAAGAACAATGATAGTTTGGTGAGATCTGTCTGCTAGTCGAAATTGTAGACAACAATTCATGTCAATCTTTACGTCCTCAACTGGGGTAATGAGAAAGAAACGATAACAAAGCTTAACCTTAAGGAGCTCAACAATCAATCACAACAGACTTATTATGTGTAAATATGATTCATAAGTACAAACACAGTTTTTTTGTTCAGCGAAGAAATTTCTTTTCAACGACTTCGTTTTCAAGCCAATTGTACAGTCGTACTTATATTACAAAAAAAGTTTATTAAGTGGCACTAAATAATTGCTCAGTCAATATACATATATAAGTGATAAGAATAAAGATAATTAAAATGCTATAAGGGGTAGAGCTGAAGTGGATGGATTACAGAATTATTAAAGATTGTTTTATAACTGAATTGATATCAAAAATGTCGAGTGTTGTCTAAAAATTTCAAAAAAATTAGGAATATGATTATGATAGGAATGAAGATGTGAAGTGAAGTGGAATGAATTCAAGTGGTAAAGGGGTTTGACAAAACGTTTTTGAACACATAATTTAGGTCTATGTTCATGAATAGCTAAGGCTTCGGCTATGCATAAGTGAAGGTTTATTGCACGTAACATCAAGAAAGAATCCCCCCCTAGACAAATCACAGTACCAAAGAAAAAACTGTTTATGGGTCTTTCATTCAAAGGTGACACCATTTTGGAATTGATTAAAAATCGTTTATCTAAATGTGTTAAACGCACTTTTTCTGCAGCTGACTTGCAACTAGTTTTACCAACCAAAACATGATTAAATAATGAGTTAAGGATAGATTACCGCATCTATGTGCATTTACATTTTACCTGCTCTTGTGGAGCCGATTATATTGGATGTTGTAAGCGTGCTCTCCAAAAACGTGTAGCTGAACACTATCTGGTTTGGTTAATGAAAGGTGAACGTAGAACTGCAAAGTCGTCTATTTGTGATCATCTGTTAGAGTCTGGTCACTCAGCCCCACATGATTCATCCTTTAAGGTTATCTACATGGCAAAATCGAATCGATCCAAAGGTTTACATTTTCTTCACTTGTGCATAGCCAAAGCCTTAGCTATTCATGAACATAGACCTAAATTATGTGTTCAAAAACGTTTTGTCAAGCCCCTTTGCCACTTGAATTCATTCCACTTCACTTCACATCTTTATTCTTATCATAATCAGACTCCTAATTGTTTAAATTTTTAGACAACGCTTGACAATTAAAAAAAAATATTTTTGGTATCAATTCACTTATATAAAACAATCTTTAATAATTCTGTTATCCATCCACTTGAACTCTGCTCCTTATCGTTATTCTTATCACTTATATATGTATATTTGTAACAACAGAAGACAAGGGCCAGGCAACAGATCGTTTATTAAGGAAATCAACACGTATTTATATATATTTCATATACATTATTATAGCTTAATCAAGCAGACAAACACAGTCTTTAAATTGGTTGTTTCTTGCTCAAGGTTATTCTGTACTGCTTGTGACTGGTTTCTCAGAAAGTTAAGCCATATATCTGCAAATCGTATTTGCCCACGTTAAGTCTGCTGTGATTGGTTGTTGAATCAGTCTTGTTAATATTTTCTCACAGCCAATATTAGCGACCTAGACATTGACGTAGATTAATGTCTACCAATTGGCTAGCAGTCTGCTCTCACCGCATATTGACTGAGCAATTATTTACTGCCACTTAATAACCTTTTTCTGTAATATAAATACGACTGTAGAGTTGGCTTGAAAATGAAGTCGTTGAAAAGAAATTTCTTCATTGAACAAAAAAACTGTGTTTTTACTTAGGAATAAATGGGTATTTTTCGTGAGGCAAATATGATTCGCAGATATATAGCCTGACTTTCTAAGAAACGGTTACAAGCAGTACAGAATAACGTTCAGCAGGAAAATAACCAATCAGAAGAAGCTGTTTCACTGCTAACAATAACGAATAATAATATACATAAAAATAAGTAAATATCTGTTGATTTTTTTGAATAAAGGATCTCTTGACTGGCCCCTATCTTCTGCCGTTATTATAATAATAATAATAGTAATGTAAACAACTTACTGCAATAATTGTTTGTAGAAATTGTGTCATTGTTTCTCTACGTATCACTTTGGCTTTTTCAATTAATGCTAGCGCTTTTAATACATCTTCAATATGACCAATCACTTGACCCATTCCATTCTCGATACGATTGACACGTTTATACAGCTGCATAAATTCGCCTTGTTTCACTTCTAATTTCACTTGTGGTGGTTTGATTGACTCGATTCCTTTGGATTCAATTGCAGTTAAATCTAATTTTTCTTCTTTAGCTAATTCAGAGACTAAAGCAATCTATGCAGTGGAAAAATTAAAGAATATTAAGAGAAGAATGAAATTAATCTGATGCTATTTTTTTCATTTTACTTAAGCATCATTGAAAAAACACAAAGATGGGATGATATTTGTCTGATTTCTCACAAACTGGAAGATATGCATGCAAGTGAAAAGCAACAAGTTGGCAGAAGAAGCATACATAGAAGAAAGGACTTCAGGTGAACATAGATAAAACATAGGTGATGAAGATTCCTGGCCAACAGCAACACCAACAACAACAACAGACAACGATCAGCCAGAATAAATGGGAGTAACCTGAAAGAAACAACCTCCTTTACCTACCTGGGAAGCATCGTTTCAACTACAGGTGGACGGAACCGATGAGGATATCAAAGCCAGAATCGGAAAGCAAGACAAGCTTTCATTACTCTTAAGTCTGTGTGGAATTCAACATTACTCAGCATCAAGAATAACATCCGGATTTTCAACTCCAATGTGAAGTCAGTTGCTACTAACTATACGGACCAGAGAATTGGCGTGTCATAAAGAGCATCTCAAACAAATTACAGACCTTCATTAACAATTGTCTTCGCTCAATACCACTCAAGATCAGATGGTCGGCCAGAAGAGATGAGCAACAGGGATCTCTGGAAGCGAACCAACCCAGGAGGAACCGATTGTGCAACAAATAGGCAGGAAGAAATAGAGATGGATTGGCTGGCCATACGCTGAGGAAACAAACCATCAAGTGAGTGACATCACTAGACAAGCCATTGCCCGAGTGGAACCCGAGTGGGGAAGCGGTTGGCGAGTTGGTCGTCAGTTCGAGGGTGGGGTGACTTGGAGTCGGTCATGTGAAGAGGAGATGAAAGCATGTGGACAGACTTGGAGCGGAGCGAAAAAGTTGGCAGAAAACCGAAGGTAATGGAGACGCGCATCTGAATCCCTACGTTCCTCTAGGAATTAAAGGAAATAATAATAATAAATGATAAAGTGAGATGCACCATTACACTAAAGGTTATGACTCCTAAGGAAGTGTAAACCGTTAATAAGTTAATTTAGATAAGTATTATGATCGATGAATATTCACATGAACAAGATTCGTAAAACAAACACTTGAAAAGTTCATAGTTTGATACTCATTGACAAAACACAACCATGAACTTACCAGTGGTTGAACTTAGGACCTTCAGGTCAGAAAGCTAGTTCATCAACCTTTCAGACACTGGAAGTTTGAAACTTGAAGGTCCTCGTTCCAATCATCAGTAAGGTGCGCATTGTTGAAGACTGTCAAATTAGGACGAAACATATATCTAGTACTTCCTAGTTTTCAGTGGTTCTCTAACTGACGTCATTTTGTCATCTACCTTGAAACCCACCAAATTCCTACAAATCAACACTTAAAACTATCCCAGCAGACTTTTCCTGACCTGAGAAAATATAGTAACAATAGTGATACCAAAAAAAGTATCACCGAAATAATTATGCTATGACATTGGGCCAAGGAGTAGGTGTTTATCAACATGTCTGAAATCTGATTGGTTGTTTAGCTGACTGGTGCATAAGTAATCAATATTCGTACAATTTAAATTCTGACTGACAGACTGTCATGATAGTCTGTAGTTATACATAATAATAACAATTAAACTTCAATGGTAGACATCAAAATTCCCTTGTTGAATTTAGCATCCAGTAGTTGATTACTTCTTATTACAAAAAAATATCAATAAACAATAAAATTAATTAATGTATAATAAATAATATTTAGAAGAATATATGACGTATATTACAAACCTTTTGTTCTTCTAATTCTGCTTTCATCTTCAATTGTTCTGCTTGTGATAGTGTATTATCTTTATTCACATCAAATTGTTCAAAAACTGTTTTAATTTCATCATCACTAAAACCTTTACTGTTAATAATGAATTAAAACAAAACGTTATCGATCAATGATTCAATGTTTATGCTTGAAGTATTTAATATCAATGATAGTATTATTCACTTCAGTATTACAGATAATACTGTCTACACACCATTATCAGCCATTAGAAATTACATTAGAAATGGTGCATACTGTGAAACGAATTCGCTTAATCTGACTAATTCTCGCCTTTATAACGTGTAAGCATAGTCCATGTAAAATGCATGCAAGGGGAACTAAACGTGCCCAGAGTAGATAGCTTTCAGAAAAAAAATTGTAAATATCATCATATCATTCGCTTTTAACTAAATAACTTTGAGTTTATGCAGTTCATTAACGGTACACCTTAACTAAATTGCAGCTGTAACGACTGAAGACAGAAAATCAACAGATATTTATAGATTTTTATGTACATTATTATCAGCATTATTGTTAGCAGAGAAGCAACATCTTCTCATTGATTGTTTTCTTGCTCAAGGTTATCCTGTCATATCTTTGTTGTCGTTTATTAGACAGTCCGTTGATATATCTGCGAATCATATCCGCCCACGTTAAGTCTTCTGTGATTGGTAGATGAGTTCCTCAAGGTTATACTTCGTTTCTGCTTTTTTCCCATGACCCCAATTCGAGGCGTAAACATTGACGTCAACTGTTGTCTACAATTTCTTCTTGAAGACAGTTCTCACCACATAGCTAATGCAATAAGAACCTCTGTCTGGAAAGGTTGTCAAATGTTGGCTTACAGGGATTTTTTGATTACAGCTTGTTTCCACACTGTATTTTTGGTACAAGTATGGAATTTTCAGCATGGATATCGGTAGCCCGAATTTTGCAGGCCCACCATAGATATCAGGTGTGCGTCACCAGGGGATCGAACCTCGGACCATGTGCATGGTCGGCGAGAGTCCTAACCACTGTCCCACCGACGCCAGTTATATAGCGAACTGACATCACTTGTATAACCTGAAATCACAGTAAAACGTTGTCATCACTGAACTCCACCAAGTGACATGGGAAGAAAGAAACTAGTCGATGACACTGGCTGGAGGGGGCGCTGTATATATCACGAAATGGAAGAAGTTAGAAGTTGTGAGTCATTGGATTTTTGTCAGTGAGTTCACTTTGTGATATGAAGCTAATTAGCTTGATCCCTTGTGGATTTATAGGTGTGTGTATATGTCGATGAAAGGTTCTAAACTAGTAGGCGAACTGTGTCCAATAGTGTCTGGTCTCCGATGGCTTCCCAACCTACTTCAGTTGACGACATAAATTTAATAATTTTCAAGCTTTGTTTTCCAGGTATTTTGCTGACTTCAAGATTGATCACAAAAGCAGTTCAGTTAGACAACGACTAAAAACCTACCAGGAAGCGCAATTGAAAGCTGTTTCGTCCTCATTTAAGACTCTTCATCTGTGCACACAACTGACTCCACTAGGGTTGACACTCAACACCTTGGAATTACAGAGCGAGCTTATTTATCCCACAACCCTTGTTGGTTAGAATCTGATGGCCTATCAATTCTGACTTCTTCCAATTCGCGATATGTGTCACAATCCGCAGTCAATGTCATCGAACAGTATTTATGATTACACTCAGCTTGTTAAACTTCTCTGGTCACGGAATTTCGGGCTGCAATCAGTCCAAAAACAACTTACCCCCAGTGGTGATATATTCATTTTTCAGTAAGGTAAACCCTTTGCGCACAATCGGTTGGATAGTGGAGACTCTGTCCGACTTGATGATATGGCTTCATGGCCCAGGATAAAAAGAATCCTACCGGAGGTCCGGGTTTCATCCCCGGCCTACTGTCTTCTAAATACCAGCTAGTTTATCAGATGTAAGTAGGCCCGGAGAAGGGGATATGTTGGCTTAGAGGCCATTAACTCCACCGCAAGGAAACAGCCACGCCTCAACTCCTGAGAATTCAAAGCCTAAAGACTTATTTTCGACTCAGAACTCAATGGAATGAAAAATATTATGCAGCTGATATTATTGGAGAAAAGATCCTATAATGAGACCTCCTGACAAAACACATTTATATTATACGGAAGAAACCATTTAAGAACTTTTAAGTGAACGACAAGGATATTATTTGACGATGCTGGTGAAAACAAGAATCAGAAGACCCAAATTTTTATCCTTAAGAAATTCTAATCGACATTACAAGGAACTCTATGGAGGATTTCACCATGAGCTGACATCAGTTAGAGAGCCACTGGGAAACCTGGGAGTACTGGACGGTTGTTTCGTCAATCTAGCTTGGGACTCTTCAGCAGTACGCACCCACCGGGGCTCGAACCCAGGACCTTCTGGTTACAAGACGAGCTCGTAGACAATTAAGCCACTGGGACCCTATCCAATAGTTCTTTAATTCTAACTTCTGCCAGTTCACGACATAGCGCGACCACTTGACAATGTCTTCCTCGATGAGTTACTGCCACATCTTCGACCTGCTGTACCTTTCTGGTCACGGCTTTCCACTAGAACCCCAGGTTAACTGCCCGAATAGGGCCAGTCGCTAGTGAGCATCAGAATTATTTTCAAGTATTGGTTTTGTAGGGATTTTGTTTGACTGTATGGAGGATTTCACCATGAGCTGACAAGGTTTATGCAGGTGGCGATAAGAATAACAAAGATAGTATTATGTGTGTGTATGTGTAGACAATTCAATAAATAAATTAGGTCAAATTCTAAAAGTTATGCATTACTAAAGGTGAAGTTGACAGATAATCAGACTTTAAATAAATACCATAAAAATACGAGCTGTAAAGTGTTTATTACTGAGAAGATTTTACGGTTTATTCAACTCTGAGATATCATTAGAAGTGTTTAATTTCTCTTCCTGTTCCTCTTCTTCTTTGAAAACGAGTTCACTAACTTTTCTTAGTTGCAGGAATCAAACATCTTGGCTAAGACAATAGATAGATAGAAGTTCTCAGCAACTTAGCTGTTATTGATTGATGACTGGATGCAGTATTTCTCTACTGGTCATGAAGCCATGATGTCAAGTGTTTTTTAAACGAAATAGTACCTTCACAGATCTAAGTTTGTGCTTATAAATAGGTAGTTGAAGGATCCAATGGAGGGCTGTTTAATGATCCACTGGAAACCAGGGAATATTGAACAGCTGTTTCGTCCTTGTTCGGCACTCCTCATAGGACGGACTTCTCACCCTGCTAGTGATCGAATGGTATACCTTCAGATTACAATGAGAATCACACCACTTTGTAACTTAAGTTTTATAGTTTTCTATGTTCTTTCCTATTCTTCTTCTTAAAGGTACTAGAATTTTCTAGATGTCCGACTGAATAGGTGCTTAATCATTCCTATTTCACTTATTCGTCTCAGTTGACTCGATGATAACAAAGCCTTCGTTATCAATCTCTTCCTCCACACTGTAACATTGGATTTTAAAACTGTCATTTTATCCCATCACCCTATTTGTATGGTTGTGTGTAAGTTCATGAAGTGATTGGTCAACTTATCTAGATTTTTAAAAAATTATATTTGTAAAATCTCAGCGATATTGAAATGAGTAATTCCAACGTTTCGTTCGGAAATCTGGTCCGAACGAAACGTTGGAATTACTCATTTCAATATCGCTGAGATTTTACAAATATAATTTTTTACAAATGTCTACTTCTCACTCGGTGCCCAAATATTATAGAACTATTCTGTCAAATCTTGACTACAGTTCATTTGATTTATCTAGATTTTGGTGCCAAGGTTTTATGCTCCACTTGTCTGACTGACTTACTTACTCCGTTCTACTGCATTGACCTATGTATTTGACTTGACAATCATTACAGGGTAATAGATAAACTGAAGTGTTTTGTAAAATTTGATCCACAGGATTGATCCGTTAACCAACAAAGCTTGTTTCTAATTGAGTTTGTGGGTGGCTTGAATACCAGCCACTTTTATTCCTAACTACTTAAGAATTCTCCATAAGGTGGTTTCCTATGTTTCTTCTTTCCATGGAAATACTACTGATGGTCTAGATTCCATATTGTTGATGTTGTCATTATCCTACATACAACCACACAATAGGCTCGGTGGGACAGAGTCGGAATTCCGAAGAGTAATATAGGTAAGTGAAGGAAAGAGAGATTGATTGATCACTGAATCCTGCCTGGTTCATCGTGTCGACACCGAAAATGTGCAATAGGAATAATTCATCAGTTATTCCCGAAATATGGAAAATATTTTACTATCAATCAAATCAAGAAATGAGAAATAGAGAAATCATATAAACGAATTTGGAAAGTTTTGCGAGTAACCCGATATTACAAACCAAACTCTTAAAAATTATGATTATGAGCAGGTATTAATTGTGCTCGAAACGTGGTCATCAGTAAATAAGCATTGCCGTATAACATTGTGAGACTTTATCAAACTAAATTTTATCCACAATGGAATTATACTTTATCACAGTGCAAAATTCCTATGCTTATATTCATTTTATTTGTTTTTATTTTATTTTCGTTTGCAGCTTGATTCCACACCGTATTTTTGGTACAAGTATGGAATTTTCAGCATGGATATCGGTAGCTCAAATTTCTCAGGCCGACCATAGATATCAGTTTTGCGTCGGCGTGGGCTCGAACCCCGGACAATAAGAGACTCTGATCGATGACCAACCGGCCAACAATTAATTTTCCAACAAATATTCAGAAAGCAGTGGATATTGATTGCATATACGCTGATGGGACCATTGAGTAACATCAGATGTCAGGCCCTTGAGAGTAGAACCTGAATGCTAAGCCGCTAAATGGATAACTAAGGGTGACAAACAAGACCGTAGGAAATCAAGCTAACTAAACTGTAAACAGCCCAAAGTGTGACAAGTTTGACCGTTGGATTAATATCATTTAGAGGACTATTGAAAACCAAGGAGTTCTAAAGGACAGCTGTTTCATGCTAGTTTAGAACTCATCGTCAGCACAAACCCTCGACGCCGTTCGAACCCAGGACCTTCCCGTCTCAAGTTAGACTGTTAGACCATTCAGTCTATGGGATCCGACTCAATAACCCATCAATTCTACCAATTCGTATTCTTTAGCATGGCCAGCAGGTGAATACATTAAAGAGTGTTTGTTTTCACACCCAAACATGTTAACTCCACTGACCACGAATTCTCAGTAGAAATCAAATCAATTTGCTTCCTTTAGACAGTCACTAGCAAGCATTAAAACAACTTTCAACAGATGTTTTGTAGATATTGGATAGTTGGAGGCAATCCCCCACAGGAAGCCTTGGACCTAGGTTTCGTGCTAGTTGGCACTCATCAGCAAGGCGTATCTGCAACCTTGAAGGAACTCATGTCCTTTCTGAGATTCGAACTCGCTTAGGACTGTAGTGGATATTTTTATTATACACTAGTAACTAAGTGTGACGTGCCTAGTCCTTTCCATGCTGCAGACTGAATTCAATGCAATGTGGCCACCATTCTAGATAGCTCGCCATTATGAGACACATTGATTTGATGATATTAGATAGTTGAAAGCAATCGGTAGGAAGCCTTTTTTTAAGGATATTTCGTAGGGATTCGATTTGTTCCAAATGTCAGTTTCGCAGAAGTATCATGAATTTGCAGAAGTTATAATTCAGGAACAATTGAATCCGGGTCTCACTGGTTCAGTGGTTTACTAGTTTTGACTTGTAACCAGAAGGTGGTGAATTCAAACCCCGGTGGGTGATGGATGCCTATTGAAGATGAATTCGAAACTATGATGAAACAAGTGTCCAATAGTACTAGATTTTTAATGCTTGTCTAAATGATGAATATCAATCCGTGGTCAAACAGGAATTCCTACAAACTAAAACTAGAAAGTTCAAATTATTATTATTATTATTAACTGCTACTGAAACTTCAAAGCTCAATCTTGAAGCAATTCCATATTAGTCTGTTTATCAGATGTATCACACACAGTCTGTGAAACAGTATTAGTATTTACTGGATGACACAGTTTCCAACAAAATTTATTACTGTTCATAATCATTTCATCAATTATAATCACACGACTTCGGAACTTGAGATTTATAGTTTTATTTGTTCTCACATATTCGTCATTCTAGGGTTAGTAGAATTTTCCAGTTGTCCGATTGGAAAGGTGTTGAATCATTCCGGTCGCACGAATTTGCAGTTGATTTGATGAATAAAGCTTCCGTTATCATTCTCTTCCTCCATCCTGTTGCATTAGATTTTAAAACTGTTATCTTATCCAATCTTATTGTATGGTTATGAGTAATTGGATGTAGTGAGTGATATAGCTGAGCTATTTTCCTGATGTCTTATCTTATTCGGGTCAACTGATCTTGATTTTGCTAGGTTTTTATGTTCACCTAATCTGACTGCAATTGTTCTGTTACTTTGACCTATGTATTAGACCTGACAATCATTCCACCAGGGTAATAGATAAACTAAACTGTTTTATTTTAAATGCTCCACAGGATTGATCCGTTAACCGACAAAGCTTGTTTCTAATTGAGTTTGTTGGTTAATAAATGGCACTTTTATTCCTGATTTGTTAAGAATTCTCCGTAAGATGGTTTCCGATGTACCTTCCTTGTATGGAAATACTACTAATGATGATTTAGATTCCTTATGGTTGGTGTTGTCATCTACCTTGCGCATGTTTGACATACATGTCACTATTATTATTATTAACGCTATCGCTTATATCATTATTTATTTTATTTTTCTATATTTCCCTACATACTTTCTGACTAATTTATCAGGGTAATTATTGATTGATTAAGTTTCAAAGCCTCTCTTATATGCTTTACTTTCTGTCTTAGATTTTCCTGGTTCTACTTAGTTTTTGTGCTCTATTATTTAAACATTTTACCAATCCTATTTTCACTGACATAGACTGGAATGGTTGGAAGTCCAAATTTCTGTTTGAATGTATGATAATGCCTCGCCTACTCTATAATTGTTGTATAAAACCTACAATTCTAGTGACAATCACCAATTAGTCAATGTTTTTCATTCTTAGTTAGCCAGTACTTATCTTTAATACAAGTATTATAGATAGATAGAGTTTGTGTTAGCAATCCAATGTTAGGATACTCAGCACCTATATACATTTTTCGTGTTCAATTTCTCATTGAAGCATTCCGAAACTGGTATTGTTTACTAGTCAGTGGCAAGCTGAAGAAAACAAGGGGGGCTAACAACTTTCAACGTGTGAAAGAATAACACTACTGCTAAGGGAACTAAAAATCACTGAAGGCCTACGCCTTATTTAGAGAACAAAGAATAACAATTTACACAGTATATTGATTCATCACAAATACAAACTTACGCCTTCAAATGATTCCTTAACACTTCAAAGTCTACTTGTCCACCTTTTCCCAGATCAGATAATTCAAGTGCTTTTTGAATATTTTCAATTCGTTTCTTCTTTATCTTCATTTTTTGTAGCATATTTTGCATTCGCTATAATGATAAAGAAACAAAAATAAACCAAGATTGAAATCGTCTACTTAAATTTATTTTTAAGTAATAATAAAAATAAGACAAAACATTTCCAAGTTATCATTTATAAGGATCTTTGATTCGACCACGTATTGACTTCAGTGATGAGGGGCGTCTGAAGACCAGAGTGTACTGGACAGCTGCTAGATCTTTGTTTGAGACTTTCTTTGTAACTTGAAGGTCTCTTAGTGGGCAGGGTCAAGGACGCGTACCACTGATTAGCCGTCCAGTACACTTTTTGGTTTTCAGTTGTCATTTAATTGAAGTGAGATTGTGTTCAAATTTAGTAAGTGAAATAACCTGATGCCAACAGTCAGAATACGTCTGTTGACTGATACGATGCACCTAGATGGTTGAATTGGTAAAGACATTGTGTTCAAGACAAACAAACAAACAAGACAAAATGTAGCTAGGAAGTCTGTTAGGAAATGCCTCTGAAGCAGAACGATTGGGATTCACTCGTGAATATACATACCTCAATCATCTTTACTATGGAATTACACGAAATTATCTGGCCATAAAGTAATCGTTGTATATATTCAAAGCCAATTTCTGCATGCAACTGGCCGTTTCAAAATTGTGAAAGTGTATGGTTAAACTGTTTATTGGTAAGCTTTGAATTACCAGTTAATTGAGTTAGCAAAAATATATCCATTTCAGGTCTTTTGTTCTACTGGCATATAAACGAAGCCCCGCTAGTACTCTGATGTTTCACCTATTTGGGAATTTGTATCATCCAACGCTAGTGGGTTGATCGTTGACGAAATTTCAGCACGGATATTAAGGGCTAGTTTCGCATATGCCAATTTACGCCGTCTCCGGCGTAGACGTGATATCCGCCTATTTATTGATCATAAGATATGTGTACTACTTAGAAGTCCGCTCCGTCCTCCTTTATGGTTGTGAGACGTGGCCATTGAGAGTGGAATATATGAAAAGACTGGTTAGCTGTCTTTGATCATAGGTGCGCGCATTCTATCTCCCGTGTGAAATGGTATATTAGGGTGAGCAATATTGAGCTCAGGCATCCAATGAGTGCTACGTAGGTGGGAGGAGAAATCAGCAGGCGAGGCTGTGAAGTTATATCGACTGAGATGTCTGGGACATGTGTTACGCATGCCTAGCTATTGTTTTCCTTGACAACGGGGTCAGGTTGGAAAAGAGCCAGTGGTAGTCAATCAAACCATGGCAGCAGTCAATGAAATCGACAACTGCTGGTTTAAGCCACGTAGGAAGATTTAGACTTCCTGACTAGTTGCGACCAATGATAGCGACTGGAGACAGTTGGCGATATGGATCACAATAGTCATTGGCAATGGCTGAAGCAGATACATCCACTCCCTGTGACTTATAATTTCCGATAAAACTATATTGTTCTTCCATATTACTATTCTTTATACCATAAATTTCTGTTTACTGTCTCTGTTTTGCGTTTCTTTTAGCTTTCTTCTCTTGTTTTGTGTGCTACATGCAGGGAGTGTGGAGACTAGAACTGCTGCATATCTGTGCAAAGTTCTGCGTTGAAACTAGTCAAAAAAGTCAATGTCGCTTCATGCCATATATATACATATTGGAGTTTGCCATTCGATGGGGGACACAACACTTGCATTAGAACTCCAAAGTACAGTAGTTAAAATATTCTTTGCCACAACACTACTTTGTACAATTCCGATGCAGATGAAGGAGAAGCTACGGAATCTGGCTACTTCAATGTGTATTTGTGAATTTAACTGCATACGTGGAGACAGTTAAATAGGTAGGGCAACTGAGGAAGCTCACTATCCCCTTCTTGAGTGTTATCCAACGTGTGCTTCGGTGGTACAGTGGTTAGGACTCTCACCGACCATGAACATGGTCCGGGGTTCGGTCATCTACCGACGCACACCTGATATCTATGGTCAGCCTGCAAACCTTTGGCTACCGATATCATATGCTGAAAATTAATTACATGTACTAAAACTACTGTGTGGAATCAAGCTATTATAATAAAAAAATTAAAGGAGTCGTAAAGCCATTCATGAGTTTTTAATAATGGCACACATCCTGTGGATATAGAGAACAGGACTGATACAAATTCAGCCTTTATAATTCTATACAAGATGCCATCTCACTTCCCCAGGGTTGTACGGCTTCGATTGCCAAGAGTATCTGAGGCAGTAGCCCTGGACATTTTCGACTCAGTCTTTGTGTTCAGGAAAATTTTGGCGAATCCCTTTCCCTCCAATAGGCTTTAACGACAGCTTAGAAGCGTTTTCACTACCGATGTCACCGGATAACTGTGAATATTTATATTTCTACTGCTAACTTTATTATTAATATCATACTGTGTGTCATAGTTGCATATTTTAATATTAGTTTCAAGATTTATTATCATTATTATTCTACTTGCATTCTACATGATGGTAAATGTATGATTTCCTACAAACTGGAAGATATGCAAGTGAAAAGCAACAAGTTGGCAGAAGAAGCATCAAATGTAGTACTTCCCTCAGGTGAATATAGAGAAAACAAAGGTGATGAAGATTTCTGGTAAACAGCAACAACAACAACCAACATAAGGTGGAGAAATCTGAAAGAAGCTACCTACCTTACCTACGCGGGAAGCATCGTTTCAACTACAGGCGGAACTGACGAGGATATCAAAGCAAGAATCGGAAAAGCTAGACAAGCTTTCATTACTCTCAAGTCTGTGTGGATTTCGGCACTCAGCACTCAGCATGAAAAATAAGATCTAAATTCTCAACTCCAATGTGAAGTCAGTGCTATTATATGGATCAGAGACTTGTCACAGCGTCACGAAGAGCACTCCGAAAAAACTACAGATCTTCATCAACAGCTGTCTTCGCTCAACACCACTCAAGATCAGAAGGCCGGCCAGAAGAGATCAGCAACAGGGATCTCTGGAAGCGAACCAACCCAGCAGGAATCAATTGTACAACAAATAAGCAGGAAGAAATGGAGGTGGATTAGCCATACTCTGAAGAAATATACCATCAAGTGTCTTCACACGTCAGGCTATTGCTTGAGTAGAGCCCAAATGGGAAGCGGCGAGTTGGTCGTCGGTGCGAGGGTGACATGGAGGGGGTGATGTGAAAAGGAGATGAAAGCATATGAGCAGACGTGGAGCCAGGTGAAAACGTTTGCAGAAGATCGAATGCAATGGAGACGTGCGTCTGAAGCCCCATGTTCCTCTAGGAACTAAAGGAAACAATAATGATAAATTCTACCTGATCGTGTTTGATTCTATTGATCCAGACTGCTTCAAATATCTATCGACAGTATTTTGGTTATGCGATTGTAAAGCCTAATGAGAATTCACTAAAAAAACGTATCTGCTTGGTTATTATTACTCCACCGGGTTCCGAGTGGAACATAAAGCTTTAACAACATATCTATACTTTCTTTTATTCTATGCTGTCCTCTTCAGCTGGCTAGCTTCATGACTGCTCCACAAGTGCCAATAATCTCTCATCTTCTCCTTCAATACACATGATCACCTCCATGCCACCCTCACGCCGAAGACACGGTCGTCAATTCCCATCCGGATTCCACTCGTGCAGTGACCTGCATAGCGCACGGAGTCCTTCGACCGTCTCCTCAGTGACGTATGACCAATCCATCTGCATTTTCTCCCACATATTTGTTGATCAATCGGCTCTCATCTGCCGGTTTGTTTTCAGACAGAGTTTACTGTTGCTAATTCTTTCTCACTGGGGAGCCGGTCGGCTATTTGATCTTCATTATGACGGCAGCCAGCGAAGGAGGCAGCTGTCGATTAAAGTCTGCAATGACCAGTTAGAAATCCTTTCTGTGACACGCTGGCCAAGTTTTTGACCACTATAAAAGAAGTGACTGACTGACTGACTGGCTTCACATTTGTGTTGAACAGAATCTGAATCTTGTTCTTCATGATGGCTGAGTGAGAGCAGAAGATTTCCATACTGGTTTCAGGTTGATGAAGGTGTGCTGACTTGCCTCTCCAACTCTGACTGGCTAGCTGGCTTTGACATCCACATCCGTGCCGTCCGCCTTCCTGTGGTTGAAACCGTGGATCCTGGCCAGTTAAGTGAAGCTAGCGTGTAACTTCTGTCAGTGCTCTTCCGTTGATGGTGGGTGGTTGGTTCCGGTTGTCGTTGCTTTCGTTTGGTTGGTTGCTTGATTATCTTCTTTATGTCCACCTGCAGTCCTGTCTTCGCTGCTTGCCGCCTTCTTCTACCAGTTTGTCAGTTTTTTCCTGCCTTAAAGTTTTCGAGTTTGTGTGACACAAAAAATAAATTATCTGTGAATCCAGATTTTTTGAGTCTTCTTGTCGGTTAGTGCAGCGTATTCCTGTCTCCTCGCTCTTCACGCGCAGTCTGACTCATAAGCCACAATTTGCTTGTTTGAATTGTTTTTTTCATCCTGTTCAGGTTAATTTTCATGCTTTATCGGCTAACTGATTACGCTGGACAGAAATTCTGAGTATTCGTTCGGTAGAGACGCCCAAACTACTAACAGACGCGATGATCATGTGTATCATTTGTCAGCCTTCAATGTTATACAAGGATTACTTTTATTATCAGCTTACTACTCTATTGATGTGGGTGTTATAAAGGATAAGTTAATTAATTTCTTGCCTAGCTGCCTATGTTAAAGCTTTGATTGGTCCATTTTCCAAACAAGATATCGTTCCATATAGAAGTTTTGCTTGTTGACTAATAGTTTTGGAGGCGAGGATGCTTTTCAATGTTTGAAGCGACAGCTTTCGGTTTCCTGCCTTAGTGGGTATAATTTTTACGCACTTAAAGGTGCAGATATGCTCAGATAACGACTGTAAAATAGGAGGCAATGAGGATCTTAAATTCCGATGCTAGTCATCATCAACCAACATAATATACGTTTTATCGGTTTACCCTAAGAGCCTTGTTCACTGACTATCCATCTGATTGTATGAATGGATGGGACATATATATATATATATATATATGTGTGACGAAAGTTTTCAAAACCGAAATTACGGTACTTTCATGAACATTAACATTTTTAACCAAACTGCTTTCTACACTTCTATCTCCATTAATCAGTTTATCTGTGGTTTTGGAGTCAGTCATATTGCACATTCTATGCGTATCCTATCTAAAAGGGTGCATATAGTGGCTCTATAATCAGTGGAATAATTGAACACCTTGTTAACACTGGCCATTGTATCTTCTAGAAATTCCTCTTCCAAAGTCACTGAATAAAGTGAAGAACAATCTACCAAGGACAATATGCTTTCATCTCCTGTGTTGAAGTATTGAAGCTCTAGTTATTCAAGTAGAGAAACCAAAGCTTTGAAAACCAAAGAGAATTATTAAACAACTTCTAGCTGTCAGGAAAACAACAGAATTGTTGATTTCTAGTAACTGTTTTTTCCAAGTCTTTATAGCTCCTATGCATTTCTTTTGTACTCTTACACAATTTCCTGTCTGTTTTCCTTCATGCCTTTTAGGCGTCTTGATAACAACCAGTTCATGGATCGAAATCATTACGTAACTCTCATGTTGTCTATTCCTGCCCTCTTGTGTACTGATTGATGTTGACAACTAAGATTGTTGAGAAAAAGAATATTCTTTTCGATAATTTCCCATTCTAACTCTACAGTTATATAGGCATGTTTACACACATAGAATATTCTAGAATAGTAGTCAATAACAATATTAGCGTTTTTTAAATAATATCGATTTGTTAAGTAAGATTACAATGGAATTACAGTTCATTAAAGATGCTTAAATAATAATTATAATAAAGATATAAAAACAAATAGAATATCGTGAGCTGACATTAGTTAGAGAACCATTGGAAAACCTGAGAGTATTGGACAGCTGTTTCGTCCTAGTTTGGGAATCTTCATCAGTACGCACCCACCGGGATTCGAACCCAGGACATTCTGCTTACAAGGTGAGCTAGTGAGAAGTCGTGACCAGTAGGATGCAGCTGGTCGGGTGTGAGGACAAATACTCGCCGAAGACATTGGCTGGGGTTGCGCTATGTCGTGAATTGGCTGAAGTTAGAATTCAAGGACCATTGGATCGGGTCCCAGTGGCATAATGGTATACGAGCTCACCTTGTAACCAGAAGGTCCTGGATTCCAACTCCGGTGAGCGCGTACTGCTGAAGAGTCCCAAACTAGGGCAAAACAGCTGTCCACTACTCCCAGGTTTTCCATTGGTTCTCTAACTAATGTCAGCTCATGACGAAAATCCTGTAACCAATCAAATCCCTACAAACCAACACTTAAATTGAATATAAACTAAAATTAAGGAAATTTCTACAAAAATGGAGGATTATTCAAACCCAGACGGCCAAGCTAAGGATAATTTCTGAACTGGCTTCTTTTGGACACATAAATTAGGCTTTTTAATATGGATCCCGACAGCTAGCCTCAGCAATATTTAGTAATCGAACTCTTAAGGCAAAGTTAAGATTTGTTGGTATGCGGTAAATGTTTTTGAAAGGTGCCCTGTTGACATCAATCTTGTGTTCTGTATCCACAAGATGAGATAGAGTAACGTTACGAATTATTATTATTATTATTACTATTAATACAATTTATGCACCTTTAATGAACTGTAATTCCATTGTAATCTTACTTAACAAATCGATATTATCTAAAAAAACTAATATTGTTATTGACTACTATTCTAGAATATTCTATGTATACAAACATATACGTATATAATTGTAGAGTCAGAATAGGAAATTATCGAAAAGGATATTCTTTGCTCAACTATGTTTATGATAGCTCATCAATTTTGTTACTAACCTGTTTTGTAAACATGTAGTAGATAAATGCGACTGTATGGCTTAAAATGTTAGTAAATTCTTAAGTATTGATCTGTAGAGTTTTGTTTGATTGATTGGAGGATTTTATTATGATAAGCAGACATTGATTAGAGAACCGTTGGAGCACCACCACTGGAATGCTGGACAGCTGTTTCGTCAGCCTAGTTTAGCACTCTGCTTCATCAGTACGTATCTAAACTGCGGGAATCGAACACAGGACCTTTTGATTACAAGGCGAGTGTGCTCGTAGACCACTAATCACTGGGACCCGATCAAATGACCAGCTCATGAATTCTAACTTCTGCCAATTCACAACATAGAGTGACCACTTAGCAATGTTTTTGATTCTCTAAAAAGAAGATTTCTCTTAGAATATTTAATTCTGTTTCCAGAACGTCGGGACTACAGATGCGTCCGATGCGGGTGGCAAGTGATTTAATTAAACTCCGCTTTTGTTGAATCGGTACTCAGCTATCTACTACTGAAGACTTTTAACTGTTGCCATCCAGAAATAAAATTCACTCTTGAAGTGAAAAATGAGTCGGAAATTCTGTTTCTTGATATGGAGTTAACAAGAAGAACTGATGGAAGCCTAAGAAGATCAATCCATAGAAAACCTACGTGGAATGGTCAACTAACAAACTTATATAGCTGGGTACCCATTCAACAAATGCGGAATTTGATTAAATCACTTGCCACCGACGCATCTGTAGTCGCAAAGTTGTGGAAACAGAATTAGATATTCTAAGAGAAATCTTCATCCAAAATGGATACCCAATAGGATTCATTGACAAAAATACCAAACCAATAATTCGGAGATACTAAAGTTTGTTTGCGCCTAAAAAGAAACTCTACATGATCTTAGATTTCAAGGGAGATTTAACAACCGATACCCTCAAGGGAAGGATCACATCATCTATGAGAAGAACATTCTTTGCAGCAATGCTAAGAATAGTGTTCTCCAGTCGCCCACTGATCTGCAGAAGCCTCAAGGACAAGACCCCGCATCTGACCACTTCTATGTGCATATATCAGTTCACCTACTGCTGTGGAGCCAGGTACATCGGTCTTTCGACGCGTACCCTGTCCAAGAAGATTCAAGAGCACTATCCAGCATGGTTGCGAAAAGGCAAAGTGGTGCAATAAGGAGTGCGATAATTGAAAACCTGGTTAACACTGATCACTGCATTTCAACAAACGCCTCCTTCAAAGTATTCTACAGAGTCAAGAATAATCTACCAAAGGCAATGCGGTTTCGTCTTCTTTGTATCGCTGAAGGTTTGGCCATTCACATAGAAAAACCGGAGCTGGGCCTACAGAGGAAGATTACTCAACCACGTCTACGGTCACGGTAACAACTTTTTTGATTTTGATGACTTAATTTTGTTTCCTTACCTGTTCTTCAATTGTTTATAATTCTTGTATTCATTTAGATCTTTTTCGTAATTTCTTTTTATGTACTTTGTTTTTATGTGAAACCTGAGTAAAACCCACTCATCAAACTATTCATATTATCATTACATAACTTCTTTTAACAACTGTTTGTGAAAACTCATCACCTTTGTTACTACCCTACTTTCACTAACACCTAATTTTCTTGACTTGTATTACCAATGATCACCTGTTTAGTTAAAATAACCTTAACCAATTGTATTTTTGTTTGCCAAACTTAATGTACACATACATACAAAATAATACATACATATTTGCGATTGTACAGCTAAGAAAACGAATTCGCCGAAAAGAGACTCTTCTCTGATCTAAGTGTTTTGTTTTCAATAAGTAAATATGTTGAATAAAATGAAGATGCATCAGCCACACATCAAGGAGATCACTGGATGACATTACACACCTAAGGCATCACTCGAGTAGAGGCTGAATGTGAAACGATGGGTTTTACGCTGAGTTCGAGTGTGACACTGAGCAGATCGTGTGAGAAGAAGATGAGCGATTATGGGCAATCGTTGGACTAGCTTAATGGGACTGTAGAAAACAGCACAAGATGGAGATATACTCTCATGGAAGCCTTATATTCCTTTTGGAACTGAAGGGGACGATAATGTCAATTGGTTGAGTGGGTAATTCAAAAGGCAAATCATTTGTTAACCACGTATGTTTAATGCATTCTTAAGGCTCTGCTGGTATTTTGACTGGAAGTAAGCCTAGAGAAGATGGAAAATTGGTCGCCAGCTTAGCAAATCTACCTCATGATACTTAAGAACCTTGAAACTTTATGTTCTCCTCTTCTAGCTCAAAGAATGATTGAAAAACATCTCGTCGACTGAGCGTGATTCTAAGTGAATTGCTGTTCAATGTTGAACAGACAAAATCACTGATAATTTAAAACAAAACAATTATTTAAAAAAGAAGCAAAACAAAGAGAGTGATAATATCTGCTTACATCTTTTAAAAAATCTTTCATTTCAAATTCATTTGGTTGTTTTTCCAGGTCAGATTTAACTGATGAATAAGTTTCATTGATAATAGCAATGAACATATTGATAAGAACAAAAAAGACGAAGAATACATAGACGATAAAATAGATTGGACCAAATACTCTATTCGCTGTTTGTAATGCATTGAAGTCAAAATCTCCCAAGATGATTCGAAAGAGAGTAAAGCTAAGAAATGTAAACAAAATATCATAGTAATAACAGTAATAATGTTAAGTATTAATTATGACAGTATATTCTAAATATATGCACATAAAGAAAGCAGATGACTTACTCAGCAATCATAATGTATATCAATAGTTGACGAAAAACTCAAAAACCAAACATTAGAAAACTAAATCGAATACTCCGTTGGAAAAATTTGAATAAGGCATTTAGAAGACAAATTTCACAAGATGATGGCATCATTTCGTATTTTCTTTACAACCGCTTTACCACTAACTTGGTTAACAATAATAAAATAAACTTCATGACAGTTACTCAGTTATCTAAAAAGACAAAAGTACATACTAATGTTCAATCATATTTCAATACGTCATGTAGTTAGTTCATGGTAGGCGAAGGCTGAAGTCCATTGTTTTTTTGTACACACAGTTTAGGCTGTATGTGATTAATCCCCCAAAAGGCTTCCATCACTTTCAGTAGCCCTGACGTAGAGTTATGTGAAGTAATTGTGAAACAATCATTAATATTGATTTTGTGACCTGACATTAATATGAGTGTTTTACAATGGATGATGCTGGATTTCTATTCAGATTAATCACATTGAGGTTTTCTATATGATTTAGTAGCCAGTTTGCAACATGTTATTTTTTTCGACGACATTGGAATATTCTGTTGGTTCTACGTATATAAGTGTCACCACAGCTGCAGGTGAAGTTGTAGATACAGTTTGAAGTAGAGTCCACAGAATTTCGCCCTTTAATCGTAGGAACAGGGATCGAAAATGTTCGACATGTGAGAAAATGAGATGCGGCGTGGAAGGTGCGTTTGATGGCTGACTGAAGTCTTTGAGATGTCAACTGCATAATCCGGTCACCCTTGAATGGTAGGTTAATAAAGATAGCTTGTTTTGGTACAGAAGCTGTCTTTTCGAGATGTGGTCTATCCTTACTGTGACAATTGATAAATTTTTCTGGATAACCATTAGCTAATAAAACTGAATGTGTATGTTGAAGCCCATCCATCAATGTGTCACTGGTGCGTATTTTTCGGGCCCGTTAGAACAAACATTTCGCTAGGGAACCTTTATACTGGATAGGAACAAAACTGGTGAAATGAAGGTACTGTCCACTCAATGTCTGTTTACGAAAAATGGATCGCTGAATCGTTCCATCATCTATTCTGGCTATTCCAATATACAGGAAACCGAGTTTGTTATTCGATTCTAATTCGGAAGTCACTCGGATTTTTGGATTAATATGATAAAATAGAGTCATAAAGTTCTCAACAGATTTACTGTTATTACCAATAATCAGTGTATCATCTACACAATGTTTATATAGCATAAATTCTCCAAGCATACCTTGGATTTGTCTCTCTAATTTCGACATGAATATATCTGCTAACAGAGGCCATGCCGAACATTTTCGATCCCTGTTCCTACGATTAAAGGGCGAAATTCTGTGGACTCTACTTCAAACTGTATCTACAACTTCACCTGCAGCTGTGGTGACACTTATATACGTAGAACCAACAGAATATTCCAATGTCGTCGAAAAAAATAACATGTTGCAAACTGGCTACTAAATCATATAGAAAACCTCAATGTGATTAATCTGAATAGAAATCCAGCATCATCCATTGTAAAACACTCATATTAATGTCAGGTCACAAAATCAATATTAATGATTGTTTCACAATTACTTCACATAACTCTACGTCAGGGCTACTGAAAGTGATGGAAGCCTTTTGGGGGATTAATCACATACAGCCTAAACTGTGTGTACAAAAAAACAATGGACTTCAGCCTTCGCCTACCATGAACTAACTACATGACGTATTGAAATATGATTGAACATTAGTATGTACTTTTGTCTTTTTAGATAACTGAGTAACTGTCATGAAGTTTATTTTATTATTGTTAACCAAGTTAGTGGTAAAGCGGTTGTAAAGAAAATACGAAATGATGCCATCATCTTGTGAAATTTGTCTTCCAAATACTTTATTTAAAACCAAAATGACATTATATAAACTATAGTTTGGTTTTTAAGGGTTAGTTATGTTTTTACGAGTTGATCACGGAATCCCAGTGGATGCGTACTGCGGATGATTCCCAAACTAGAATGAAACAGCAGCTGTCCAGTACTTCCTGGTTTTCAATGGTTCCCTAACTGATATCAATCCGTGATCAACTCGTAAAAATTTTATAAACTTACAAAATCAGGAGGAAGTACAAAACAAGATCAATGGCGAATGAAATCCAACCGAACTATTTTCCTTAAATTCTATGGTAGATCAGAACCGCACAAAAACTAAACATTCCCTCACTAGGAATCGTTTCACTGCCAGGAACACCAACATAAAATCTATCTTACGAAATTTTCAGCAAATTAAAATACCTAAAACGTTTTGGCAGAGTACACTGCAGTTTCGTGGAAGCTCTAATGATTCACAAGTTCAAAAACCGCTTCTATGTGTTCAGAAGGAATCTTTATCATCATATTAGACCTACCTGGGTAAAATTTGTCTCGGTACCAGTGCAGATGTACTAGTATTTCACTTTCTTTGGTCATTCAATAATCTCCATTTTTATTCTCACTTTAGTTTGTTATTTTTTTGTTTTCCTTTACGATCCTAGTGGAACATGGGGCTTCAGGATAGAGGCTTAAAGTTTCGCTAGCAGTGGTGATGATTTTTACAGGATGGGGTTGCAACCCAGCCTCATGCCCAAACCTTCTCTCTTTAGCAGTCTTTTTTCTAGCTTTGCGAGGTAAATGAGTGCGTCATTCATTAGGGATCGAACCCCGGAACGCCTGGTTGGTCGGTGAGCACTCTCTACCGCTGTGCCACCGACGTACCTTCAGTGTATATAGGACATCAATTTGTTTATTCTCTTGCCCTTTAACAAGTTATTATACAAAGTTTATATGTGCGGCCAGCTAACTGGTAATCTCTTGTGTAAGTGTACAATTTACGATCCAAATAAATTATGTCATCATATTTTTCTGTGAAAACTCATAAAGGTAATTCATTGTTCTGCTGGGCATTTTTTGTTTTTCCGTTTTCAGTTATAATTAAATAAGAGTCTTTTTGTTTAAATCGCTTTAAAACTAACACCTTTGTGATAAATTCTACTGCAATTGTTGACATCTTTTCCGTTCTTCTTTTGCTTTTAGAGTTTGCATCTTGGTTGTTTGTTGACATTCAAAGACAATGATAATATTTCCTATTGTTTTACGCAGCATTTATATATATATTTATATTATTAGAGTCTGGGCATGTAAGTTGCCATGGAAACCATATAGTTTGTTTTGATGTGTACTTTTATGCACTTTGTCATATTTTAAACAGGTAGTGATCATTTTTGACCTCGCCTAGTTTACTAGGCTGCTAGTTTTCTAGCTGGATCTCAGCCTAAGAGAAGAGAGAGGCTAACGACCTCATCCCAGAATACTGATCAGACTGCTACAGAAATATCAACATACGACTTTGCAAAAAAGCCTTAAACAGCGTTCATTGTTAAGTAATTTGAAAACTACTTCAACACTACGGCGTGCAGTGCTAAAATCTTTATCAACCTCACTCAGTAGTTGGCTATATGGCAGTGCCACAACATATCAGATGGTCCACAACAGAGAAACCATTCAGTGAAGTGTTCTAACTGAATACAGGAGTAAGACAAGGCTGGCTACCTATTATCACCAATGATATTCCTAACTGTGATGGACTGGATTATGTTTCAGACTGTGGGGAGCGAGAATACGGAAATACGCTGGATCGATAAGGAGAGTCTGGAAGATCTGGATATAAGGAAAGCTTTATGTCTAGTGTCACACAAACTCGAAGACTTGCAGGCACAAACTAACAGGCTGGAGGAAAAGGCTATCGGCGAAGACATCACTCTGGTGAACATTGAGAAGACAGAGGTGGTGAAGATAACCAGTCAAACAGGGATCAGCAACGGCTACCCGGCCCCAATCGCCCACCATCAACGGGAGAGAACTGATAGAAGTTACACGCTAGCTTGATTTAACTGGCCAGGATCCACGGTTTTAACCACGGGCAGGTGGACGGCATGGATGCGGATGTCAAAGCCAGCTAGCCAGCCAGATTTGGAGAGGCAAGTCAGCACACCTTCATCAACCTGAAACCGATATGGAAATCTTCTACTCTCACTCAGCCATCATGAAGAACAAGATTCAGATTCTGTTCAACACAAATATGCCTTCAGTCAGTCGGTTCTTCTGTATTTCTCAGAAACTTGGACAGCGTGTGAGTCATGAGCTGACATCGGTGGAATACCAGTCATTGAGTACTGGACAGCTGTGGGTGCATACTGCTGAAGAGTCCTAAAGCTAGGATGATGAAATAGCTTTCCAGTATTCCCTGACTGGTTTTCCACTGATTTCAGCTCATGATGAAATCTTCTTATCAATCGAACGAAATTTCTACAAAAACCAATACCTGAAAAAACTGATCTAATGCTTAACAGCGACTGGCCATATTCAGGCTGTGACCTGAAGTTCTAATGGGAAGCCATGACCAGTAGGGTAAAACAGGTCGAAGATGAGGACGGTTACCCATCGAAGAATAGAGAAGTGAAAATTCATGGACTGGCTATGAAATTTGATTGGTCCCTGTGGCCTAGTGGTCTACGAGCTAGCTAGCTCGCTCGCCTTATAACCAGAAGGTCCTGGTTTCAAGCACCGCAGTGTGTGAGTGCGTACTGCTGAAGCAGATTCCTATGCTAGGCTTACAAAACAGATGGTTGTCCAGTACCCTCTGACTAGTTTTCCAATGGTTCTCTAACCGATGTCAGCTCATCATGATTAAACTCTCCAACCAATGAAAAAAAGAAGAAACATAATAATAATAATAATACTGAAAAAAATAAATACCACAAAATTGAGTTATGCTCACACAGTTGTCATAAATGAACTGAAATCTTTTGCTTGTGTACCAAAGGCCAGATAACCAAGTTGGGCAAATGAAAAGAAAACAATAAAGAACATGATCGCAAAACCAGCTAAATCTTTAGCACAACTTCCCAATGTTGAACTCAATTGTGTCATTGTCTTATTAAAGCTGATATATTTAAACAACTAAATTCAACAAAAGAAAATTTAAAAAAAAACAAAACGAAAAGGAAATTAATAAAAAAAAATGTTATCAGAAAATTTATTGTATATATAATCAAGAGTTGATTTGTAAGCATTTGATTTATTTTTCGAGTTAGACGATAGATTGACATTCGTCATATCAACGGAAACATTGAAACGACTAAAACAACAAGGCTTCATCTCACAAAGTCAGTAAACACCCCTTAAACTCACTGGAAGTTTTACACCAAGACTATATGGCTCACCTAAAGTGCACAAAGATGGTGTACCGCTTCGACCAGTATTAGATATGTTCAATCTGCCACACCATCCTGTAGCCAAATGGTTAGTCAAACTCTTACAGCCGCTTCATACCGAGTTGGTGAAACACAGTGTAAAGGATACTTTCGGATTCGTGGAAAGGATAAAAGATTTAAAGGTTAACAATAAATTCATGATATCATTTGACGTATCTTCCTTATTCACCAATGTGTACCACTTATGGAAACAGTGGATTTTGTATGTGAAGAACTCATGAGACGACGAAACATCAATGCTGGCAATCCTATATCTTTTATGAAAGAGCTTCTCTTGAAATGTACAACGAATGTCCATCTTTTTATTTATTAAGGAACTATATAGACAAATTGACGGTGTGGCAATGGGGTCACCAATAGGACCCATTCTAGCCGATATTTTTCTTGCGAAACTAGAAAATGGGCCTCTGAAGGATGTTATCAGTGAACTCGATTTTTATTGTCGGTACATGGATGATACTTTTTTGATTATGAAAACCGAGAAGGAAGCAAAGAGCATCCTGGATAAATTTAATGTGGTATCTCCTGCAATAAATTTTACCATCGAGACAGAAAAAGAATCTAGTATTCCATTTTTAGACGTCTTTATGACCAGGAAAGAGGAGAGCACAATAAGAAGTGTTTACAGAAAACCTACATCAATGGGCCAGTACACACATTTTCTCAGTTTTGTGCCCTTGAAATACAAACGCGATTTGCTAAAGTGCCTGGTTCACAGAGCAAGAGCGATTTGCTCGGACGAATGTCTTGATGAAGAACTGAATAATATTAAACGGTTGTTAAGTGGGAATGGTTATCCTGAAAAGTTTATTGATAAGAATATGAATTAGAAACCAAAGCAGCCGAAGTTACCAACAGTTCCAAAAAAGGCCTTATTCTTACAGATGCAGTTCCTTGGGGACAACACTAGCGAGATACTATCACAGCGCATTAGAAATGCGGTAAAACGAGCATTTCTTGCTGCTGAATTATGTTGTATCTTTAAAGCCACTCCTCGTTTGCGTTCGGGAGTAAAAGACAAACTGCCTAATTTTGCCCCATTCATGTGTATCTACCAGTTTAAATGCTCCTGTGCAGCCAGTTACATAGGCCGCACAATTAGGCGTATTTCTCGTCGAATTTCCGAACATCACCCTGCGTGGTTAAGCAAAAGTGAAACAAAATCCATTCGTAGCGCTATTCTGTCTCATCTTGTGGAGAGAGGACACAAGACTGACGTCAACCATGCTTTCAGGGTCATTTACCGCATACCAAAGAATCTCAATTTTGCCTTAAGATTTCGACTGCTAAATATTGCTGAGGCTGGCTGTTGGGATACACATTAAGAAGCCTAATTCATGCGTTCAAAAGAACCTACTTCAGACATTGTTCTTACCCCGATAGCCATCTAGGTTTGAATGATCCTCCATTTTTGTAGAAATTTCCCTAATTTTAGTTGATATTCTATTTGTTATTATATCTTTATTATTATTTAATCATCTCTAATGAACTGTAATTCCATTGTGATCTTACTTAACAAATCGATATTATTTAAAAAAACACTTATATTGTAATTGACTACTATTGTTGAATATTCTATGTATACAAACATATACGTATATAATGGTAGAGTCAGAATAGGAAATTATCAAAAATAATATTCTTTCCTCGATTATTTTGTGTTTTATAGATGTCTGAATGAATATTTTTGCTATATTGATATTAGTTAGACAAACGTACATTGAACGGACAAATAACTAATTTTTATAGTTGTGTGCCTATCTCCAGGAAAACCAGCCTAATTCCCACACTCTGCTTTAAGAAACCATTATTATAGTTCTGATTACGTTGACTCAGAACATGACTTCCTAAGAGCCGCGCTTACAGAGAACGATTACCCGAACCGATTTATTGACAGTAACACGAAAGATAAGCAGTCTTAACTGGTCACCGACTCAGTTCCAAAGAAAACCTCATTCATGAACTTGGAATTCAAAGGTGATCAATCTCCAGATATTCTGAAAAACCGTCTCTCTGAATCAGTCAGTAAGACGTTCTTTGTAGGAAAATACAAATGACGTTCACTAGCCGCAAGTTGTTCTCTACCTCTGTAAAAGATAAGCTCCCCGGTCTGGCTGCTTCCTTATACATCTATCAGTCGACCTGCTTTTGTGGAGCAAGGTATATTGGCTGTAGCCAAAGAACGCGCTTTCCACACGGATACAGCAACATATTCCAGCAGCATAGTTTTACAATGGTGAAAGGAAGTGTGTGCAAAGCCCTATTCTGGAACACCTGATCGACTTCTGTCACTCTGCCAACTCTGACCACGATTTTAAGATCATCTATCGAATCCATGTTAACTTTCAGCGTTTTCTTCGTAACAGACTTCTAAAGACAGTGGAGGATTTGGCCATTCATGGATTGAGGTCAGACCTGTGTGTAAAAAACAAGTATTTGCAATCCCTACTTCTGCCTTGACCTTTGAGGGATCGACATTTATTGGTTTATTTTGTTTATTTAGTTATTCTATGTACCTTTCCCTTATTACTGCGATTATTATTATTATTACAATTCTCACTATAAATTGTTTCCACTTGTCCCAATTTTCATTCTAAATCCAAGTCATTTCTTACAATATTGAATTCAATAAATTAAATATTTCTGTGGTAAAATATAGAACAACAGATTTAAGCGAACAATATTGTGATTCCAATTAGATCTCATCATCACGCTTAACTCTAATTTATATAAGTTTACAAATAAAAATTCAAATGTAAACCAATCATGGTGTTTTGTCTATAGGATAATACGATGGTGAATATAAATTGTGCAATTAGTCATAATAGTAGTAATGATAATAATAATAATGGTCTTATAAATAATAAGGATGAAAAAGTGAGGCAATCTGTGATAACACGAATAATGAAAAACAGCATGATTAAGCGTGTGCGTTGGTGGCACAGTGGTTAGGATTCTCGCTGACCATACACATGGTCCGAGGTTCGGTCCCCTGCCGACGCACACCTGATATCTATGGTCGGCCTGCGAAATTTGGGCTACCGATATCACATACTAAAAATTCCATACTTGTACCAAAAATACAGTGTGGAATCAAGCTGTGGTAAAAAATAAACACACATTTCTTTAGTTACGTGCCCAATAAATTTAAGAGGAATGCTGTTAAATGTCTTACGAGCAGAGCATGAAAGATATGTACGGATAACTTCTTACATAAGGAATTTGAATATATTCACGATTCCTTGACGGAGATGGACTATCCGAGTAGTTTCATAAAGAAACATATGAAAACATCACAGAGAAAACCTGAGACACTGACTGCACTAAAAAAGCCTCTATTTATATAGTTACAATGTAATGGTGACTTATTAAGTAAGATTTCGTTACAGAGACTTCCCAGGAGTATACGGAGAATGTTTTACGCAGCATAGCTAGCTGACGAATGATTGGGACACAAATGAAGGATAAGCTAGATAGTTTTAGCCAACGTGTTAGTGAACATCTCCCATCGTGGTTTGCCAAAGGACAGACAAAAACAATCCGTAGCTCCGTTTTGTCACATTTGATTGATAGTGGTCATGTAGTGCAGAAAACGAGAGCTTTCCAAGTAATTCATCGTATCCCACCGAATCTTTCCAATAGACTTTGTATTCGTCTACTTCACACAGCTGAGGTGATAGGCATTCGAACTATTAAACCTAAACTAAAAAAGAAATAAAAAGTTCGTACAGCCATTATCCCTCCCTTGGTTGGCCTATTAAGACATAAACAACGAACAACTTAAACACGACCCCTTGTTTAAATTTTTAACCTCTCCCTCTCTAATCATCCCTTAATCGTATCACATCTTCATTATAAACGTGTCTCACTTCCTTCCCTTACAATCAGTTCATTTGCTTTTACTAGCCTTTATCGACTACTTCCACCTGAACAATTGTTTGTTTAATCATGCTGTTTTTCATTATTCGTGTTATCACAGATTGCCTCACTTTTTCATCCTTATTATTTATAAGACCATTATTATTATTATCATTACTACTATTATGACTAATTGCACAATTTATATTCACCATCGTATTATCCTATAGACAAAACACCATGATTGGTTTACATTTGAATTTTTATTTGTAAACTTATATAAATTAGAGTTAAGCGTGATGATGAGATCTAATTGGAATCACAATATTGTTCGCTTAAATCTGTTGTTCTAAATATTGAATTCTATCTTATCAAATTTGACACCGTGTTATGTAACATTTTATATTCGTCTACTAATCTTATAATTATGTGCCCCTTTCCAAAATCTATACACGTTATGTATTATTCTATATATGACATTAATTATTTTGCCACTTGACATTAAACTATGACTAAAATAACAAAGATTTTAATTGCATTTCATACTGTGGTGAGAGCAGGCCGTGAGAAAATATAAGCAAGGCTGATTCAACAACCAATCACAGTAAAGTTAACGTGGCAAAATATTATTCGCAGATAGAGAACTCTATTTGTCGAGGAATCCCTAAACAACCAATCAGAAACCTGCGTTTGTCTGCCTAACTTCTGATAAACAACAAATCAGATGACTGCGCTTGTCTATAATAATGTATGTGAAATATGTATAAATACGTGTTGATTCTCATAATAAAATGATCTGTTGCCTGGCCCTTGTCTTCTGTTGTTACAATACTATTATTATTTCATGTATTCACACCTTTGACCCAATTCCCTCACCGGATATAATTTCCTAAAAAGCCGTATATATACGATTGTACAGCTTGATTGTAAATTCGCTGAATATTTTATTCTTAAAGTATGGGAACCACAGGAAACCAATTCCAGGGAGTATTAGATACGTACTGCCGATGTATCCCAAACTAGGCTAATGAAATAGCTATCCAGTACTCTCAGATCTCCCAATGTTTCTCTAACCGATGTCAGCTCATGATGAGGTCCTATAGCGTTTCTAATAAAACAGTAAACATCTTACAGTCTGATGGTAGTTAACGTGTCAAGGGTGTGGTAAATAATTAATAAAATTATAATACAACAATTGTTTCGTCAGTCTAGTTTGGGACTCTTCATCAGTACGTACCTACCGATAGGGTTCGAACTCTGGACCTTCTGGTTACAAGGGAAGCTAGCTCGTATACCATTCAGCCGTTGGGATGTGATTTAATGACTAATTTGTGATTTTGGTGTGATTTTAGTACTCCCAGCTGGTTTTCAATGGTTCTTTTACTGATGTCAATCCATAGTCTAACCTGAAACAAATACAATCCCTACACATCAATTCTTGAAAATTAATCTGATGTACATTAGTAACTAACTGACTATAGGACAAGGTTGCCTAGGGTTTTAGTGAGAAGTCGTGGCTAGTGGGTTCCATCCAGTCGGGGTTGAGGACGGAGTTCCTCACAGTGACATTGGTTGGTAGTCGCACTAAATATCATGTAAGTAATTTGGAATTATAATAAACCACATTCACCAGCTATGTTATTATGCCACACGTTGAGTGATACACAAGAGAAAGTAGAATGAAGTCTTTGAATTGAAAAGAAGAGTTAGACAAGGTTATTTATTTATTTGAATTCTTGATTTTCCCATCGACTGATTGGACCGAAGTAACCGGTCTCAGGTTGACATATCGACTTCTTGTGCAGAGGCTTCGAAGATGTCTGGACATTTAATTAGAATTTAATTTTGTGGATGGTGACTGGCAGATACATCCAGCTGACGAGTCCCAAATAGGACGCTTTGGCTTTTGAAACTATGGAAACTCGGTTGGAGCCCCGGTGAGAACATCATCACTCACTGGGGAATGCAGGTGCATCCAGATGACGAGTCCCAAATAGGACGAAATGCGCGTTGTCCTGGATTCGACTGCTAGTCACCGTACTCCAATTAAAGGTTATATATTGTTACCCAGCGTATTAATAACTGTGGTGGGCTGGATCATGTGACAGACTATGAAAAGTGAGACGACATGAATATGTCGGATCTAGAAGAAGACACTTAAAGCTTTGCACTATGTTGGTGATTTTTGTCTAATGTCATACAAACTCAAAGATCTACAGGCAGCGAAGACAGGACTTCAAGTGGACAGAAGTGATGAAGATACACAACCAACAAGTAGAAGAGGAAGCATCAATCACTGTCGATAGGAGAAATTCGAAGGAAGTCCACGACAGACATACAGAAGGACATGGAAATCTGTAGGCAGTCGTGGAGGTGGTTAAAAGAGACTGTAGAGAGCAGAGTGAAATGTCGATATGCTGTTGAAGACCCATGTTCCACTTAAAACCAAAGTTACAGACAGAGAGATGGGTTGGCTACGGGTTGGCCATTTTATCCGTTTCTATCAGACTTTTTTTTATGGCTAGTATGGATAGCAGTAATCGGACACCTGCTATAAAGGAGCTGAACTTCTGCAGAAGATACGTGTATGACATGTTCATTCAATGCGAGGAGAAATGCGATTTGGATAAAATCCTGAAAGTATTCAGAGACACTCACGATACTATCTCATTTACATTAGAAAACGAAATTGAAGGGAAAATATCTTTCCTTGATGTTCTACTCACGAGGAGAGCTGATGGGTCTTTGAAAACATCTATTTACAGAGAATCGACGTGGATAAGACAACTGACCAGTATTCAAAGTTTTGTCTCGATAGATATAAAAAGGAATCTAATCTGTCCTCTTCCAACATAAATCCAGAGAATTCGTAGTGAAGGTAGTTTTGGTGATGAACTCAAGCAATTGCAAGAAACCTTCATGGAGGACTGGTATCCATTACACCTCGTCGAGGCTAATAGTAAAGTACATGTAAGAAATACAGAGATCGACAAGGTAGTCAAAAGTGTGTTGTACCTAAACCTAGAATTTAGGGCTAACACTGTGCGTGAAATACTTAAATATCATCTGACAAGATCACTGAGAAAAGCGTTCTTTGATGCCACTTTACTAATAACCTAATCTTTCAGTCCACCGGTGAACATTAACGTCAAGGAAATGTTACCTCGACTGTCTAATTCCTTGTGTATCGCATGTGTATATGTTCACCTGGTCTGTGGGAGCTAGGTATGTAGAACGTTCATCGAGAAACAGATCCTGTTGCTTTCGAGAACACCTCCCAGTTTGGCTGAGTAAAGGAGAAATTAGAGGTAATTATTCATCGATATTGGAATATACTATAGATAGTAACCACTCGGCATCTGGTATATAGTTTAATATACTCTACTAAGTCTGACAAAGTTTTCCGAAAAGGGACACAAGTGCATTTGCTTTGTATAGCAGAGGCTTTAGCAATACATAACAGAACCAGCCGGAAATTTGTGTACGAAAACAATTTGTACGACCTCTATCGCTACCACATGGATTTGATTTTACTATGTAATTCACATAACAGCTTTGTTATCCCTCTTTATTCTATGTTCCATTGTTGTTCCATTTTATTTCACTTTATATTATCATATTCTAACATTTTATCTAGTCTACTATGTTGACAACATTTCACTCACCTTGTCTCCATATCATATCATTATGTTCACATTTGCAAATTCACTTTATTTGAACTTTAGGTTGACGTCTATTTATTCATTTAATATGTCTGATCAATTGTGACTCATAATCCTATACTCCAGGATTATCGCACTTTAGTATTTCCATCCACTGTCAAACTATATATATATATATATATATATCCATCTAAGCCCTAAGAACGTGTGAAAAATGATGTCACATCCCACTGTGTTCACCAATTTGAATGTACCTGTGAACACACATACATAGGAAGGACTCATCGATCTCCGCAAATAAGGACTAGCTTCAGAAGCAAACAGAATCTTCAGAACCCATTAGTGGTGAGAATAGAAGCCTTAGCTCCTCTGCTGCGGAACAGATTACAGGGGAGACAGGGCATAAATTTGACGTTTACACACGTCATTTAAACCTATCTATAAAAAATGTTTTGGGTAGGGCGTATCCTACAGTTTGTGGAAGCCCTAGCTGGCAATTAGAAAGTTTAAACCACATTTATGCGATCAAAGCAACCATTCGTCATCACACTAAACCAACTTCCATGCTAAACTTTGTTTTGATACCAGCCACGGTAGATGTACTATTACCTCTGTTATTTGGTTTAGTGATCTTCATTGTTATTTTGACCTTGAATGGGTCTTTTTAACTTGACCTAAGTAGTCTATTTTCTAACCTCTTACCTCTTTATAAATTTCATGTATATATTCCTATGATAAGTCCATGTGTGTGATCAGATTGTTCAAAAAATGTGTTGTGGGCGCAAATACATTACACGATACAGAAAAATGACATCTTCTTACTGCTTTGTTTAAATTCATAAAGGGAATTAATTGTTTCAAATATATGCATACGACCTGTACAAGAAGCCGACATGTCAACCTGAGACCAGACACTTCACTCCAACCAATCGATGGGAAAATCTAAAATTCAATTAAGCAATTAATAAGACCCGTTGCATAAGAGGTGGCTCTCGTGGTCCAAGTGGTCTAGTTGGTAACGCTATGTCGTTTGAAACTATGGTCAGGAAATCATCACTCACTGAGGAATGCAAATACATCCAGATAACAAGTTCCAAATAGGACAAAATGCGCGTTGTCCTGGATTCCACTGCTAGTCAACATCCACCAAGTGAACTCCAAATACGACTGAACAGTTTTGAAAACGAAATCGTCAAGAAGAGAATTTTCTTTGTTAAATTCTCTGTTTTTATTGGGAAGCCATGATCATCAGGGTGAAGCAGGTCGAAGTTGAGGACAGCTACCCATCGAAGAAGACATCGCGAAGCGGCCACGCTATCTCATGAATTAGCGGAAATTTAAATTCACGGAATGTCCATTGGATTGGGGGGTCCCTGTGGCTTAATAGTCTACTAGCTAGCTAGCTCTCCTTGTACCAGAAGTTCCTGGGTGTCGAACTGATGAAGAGTCCAAAATTAGGAGGAAACGGCTGTCCAGGAGTCTGTGGTCGTTTTCCAATGGTTCTCTAACCGATGTAAGCACATCGGTTACATCTAACCAATCAAACAATACTCCCTTGAAGATAGATCTTTCTTTTTATGTCACACAATACGTTTTTATTGGCTTATAAAAATATTTAAAAAATATAGCAGAAATTCAGTAGACCGGAAAAAGCAATAAACCCACTTACCTTAACCCAGGCTAGAAATACAGTGAATGAGATAGCATAATTGAAATTCACTTGCCAAATACTTAACAATTGGAAATTAGCAAATATATTTGGATTTTGTAATACTTCTTCGAGTAAATTAAGCACATTGATTGTTCGATAGATATTGAATGCACAACACACCATACTGATAATAATGATTACAATATCTAGACAATTCCATACTGAAGCGAAATAACTCCATTTATGCCGTTTAATCTGTGTTTTTTAAAAATGAGGCAAGAAAGTAATAATGCGATCAAGAAGCCACTATAACTATGCGACTACCGTTGGACAATAATAACAAGTGCCAACAAATTAATAAAAAAATCAATCCAATAGAAAAGATGGAGAAACAGTTAGCTAAAACATTCATTGAAAAGACCGAAACATAACGGCTTTATCTCACAAAGTCAGTATACATCAATGGAACCTACTGGAATGTTAACGCCAAGACTATATGGTTCTCTAAAAATGCCTCCCTAAAATGGTTTGTCTACCACTTCAACAATGATCAGATGTGTTAAACTCACAATATCATACCGTAACCTCTAGTATACTGGATTGGTGAATCATACAGTGTAAAAGATACCTCTGGATTTGATGAAAGGATAAAAGATTTAAAGGTTGACAATAAATTCATGATATCATTTGACGTACCTTCCTTATTCACCAATGTGTACCAATTATGGAAACAGTGGACGTAACATCGATGTTGGCAATCCTATATCTTTTATGAAAGAGCTTCTCTTGAAATGGACAATGAATGTTCACTTTTTATTTAATGAGGAACTATATAAGAAAAATCGATGGTATGGCAATGAGATCACCACTAGGACGCATTCTAGCCAACATTTTCTTTGTGAAACTAGAGAATAGGCCCTTGAAAGATGTAACTAGTGAAGTAGCATTTTCCTGTCGGTACATGGATGATACATTTTTGATTATTAAAAATGAAGATGAAGCAAAGAACATCCTGGACAAATTTAACGATGTTCATGCTGCAGTAAATTTTACCGTCGAGGAAGAAAAAGACACTAGCATTTCATTTCTAAACGTCCTTCAGAGACTCATTCACAAACATTGAAGATGCGAAGACTCAAATATCAAACAAATCACAATGGAAAAACGGGCCTGTCTTCATTCCACTTGATTTCAAAGGTGGAAATATTCCAACAATAGTTAACAGAAAATTAGGTATGTCACTAGCCAGAGTTCAGTCTACATCTAAGTTGCTTTCCGTCTTTCAGACAACATGCTTCTTGATGCATTCAAAAGTCGACAGATACCCTTCTTATATTCACTTCTTCTCAAGTTTATCGAAACAATCTCTATCATACTCCTGAAATCCAATTTATGTGTTCAGAAAGAAGTGGTTATCAGTCATCTTTCCTTGTCCTGGTAACTGGATGTCTTTACTCTCCCTTTCATTTGACTGCGTAATCTCCTCTTTTAAGCTTTGCCTCCTTTGATGTAGTGTAACTCTGCTTTTCTCTTGTTTCTATGATTTGAGTTCAACTCAGTACATCGTTAACCAACTTATTAGTCACTCAGCATCTTACGCATCTCTCATTTTTATTACGTAACCGCCTCACCATTGTATGCATAAATTTACTTTGTTTAAACTTGAACTCTCTGTACAAAAGCTATATAATCGTAATATTTTGAGCACTATTCACTAATTATGGAACATCCTGTCACTAATTGATATGATGAAACATTGACAAGTATGTTAAAATTGTTTCTGAACGTAAACTTCATAATTTATTTAGGCTGTAAGCAGCTGATTAGAAGACAACGAAATAAGCAATGATGGTACCATTACATTATTCTGCACAAACCTCCACTGTTGTTCTTGTTTAGTTCACAATTCACATAAAGGGAGATAAATGAATGAAGTTTCCAGAATTTATCAGCGTGCAAATTCCACCCTGCCTATAATTAATACATAAGTGGACGGTGATCCAATAATTTTAGGTCAACAACTGTTTCTCATTTCATTAACACAGTCTAATTTGGAAATGAATTCAAAAATGTCTTTGACACTATGACTTATTAGTTGATGGCGTAACTGTTTCAAATATCCAACTATTCCCTTTGCCACTTTATGTTATGAATAAGCATTCATAGCCTGTGTAGTTTCGACAGATCACACAAGTGTGATATAGAACTTAATTTGAGTTTAATAAAGTTGTAGGCAGTCGCAAAGATTACTTCTTGAGCATGATTAGCAGTTACTTTTCCGTTTAAAAAAAAACACAGAGTTATTTAAGCTTTGAAGGTAATTGATTTTGTCCACATACTCGTATTTATTCACTACTACTGTGGTGAGAGGTGTCTGCAAAACATAATTGTAGACAACAGTGTAGACGTCAGTGTTTACGTCCTGAATCAGGGGTAAGAGAAAAAATAAGAACAAAGCTTAACCTCAAGAAACTCACTAACCAATCACAGCAGACTTAACATGTGCAAATGTGATTCGCAAAAATATAGCTTAACTTTCTGAAAAACGGTTACAAGCAGTACAGAATAACCTTCAGCCGGAAAAAATACCAACCAGAAGACGTAGCTTCTCTGCTAACAATAACGCTAATAATAATGTACACAGAAATCTATAAATATCTGTTGATTTTCTCAAAAAACGATCTGTTGCATGGCCTCTTCCGCTTTATCGAGCTTGCTAATCATAGTAATTTCATCCCCTCTCAACTTATTTATAGGTGATCATGAAGTGGGGGCGGGGGATGTGGATATAGTTAGTGTCAGAGAACTGAGTGGAATGGAAATAAGTGTTAGCGACACTCTATTTTCTATTAGGAAAGCTAAATAGCATTGGATAAAATATAGTTTGCATCAATAAAGAAAGACTGACTTACATGCTTCATATTTTATCTTCAAAAGAAATTCATTGCCAGTCATCAGTATCCTTATTCTAGAAGCCAGTTTTCAAGACTGTCAGTATATTCTTCATAATAGACTGGCATTGTAAATTATGAACACTACTCGCTGTAATTTAGCTACATTTTATTCTTTGAATTGTTGACAAATAAATCCTCTGATGACTTATGCAAATTCATTGAAAACTCTACAATATTCTTATCAATTCATCTAATAACATCTGGCAACAGTGACATCTAGTGTGGAACACTTAAGTAATACGCACCCACCATGAATTGAACCCAGTATCTTCCAGTTACAAGGCACGCTTACAGTTTATTCAGGCATCCAAATCAGATTCAATGGGTCATGTGTACTGATGAGGAGTTCCAGACTAAGACGTAACGATGGCGCAGCATTTCTTAGCTTTCGATTGTTCTTCACCTGACACCAATCCATGATAAGACTTGAAAAAAAAACGTTTAAGCCTCGCAGACTAACTCTTGAGAAGATGGAGGTGTCGAATACAATCAACCAACTAGCCGACGACAATGACAACCGGCACCAATCACCCAGAGTCAACGCGAGAGATTTGACATAGATTACTTCATTGATCTAAGTGCGTTGGTGGCATAGCGGTTAGCACGCTCGCCGACCATGCACGTGGTCCGGGGTTCGATCCCCGGCCGCCAACGCACTCCTTTACCTCGCTAAGCCAGAAATAATGCTGGTGAAGAGGAAAGGCTGGGCATGAGGCTAGCAACCCCATCCTGTAAAAATAAACACTCCTACCGAAACTTCAAGCCACTAGCTTGAAGCCATATGTTCCACTGGAAACGTGAAGAAAAAAAAATAATACTTCAGTGATCTGTTTAGGGAGCATGATTTCAACCACAGGCAGTTGGACAGCACGGATGCAGATATCAAAGCTAGCCAGCCACTCAGAATCAGAAAGGCAAGTTAGTACACCTTTATCAAACTCAAACCAGTTTTCAATTCTTCTACTCTCACTCAGCCATCGTCAAGAACAAGATTCAGATCTTCAATACACCGCTGTGCAGTCAGTCAGTTAGTCGGTTCTTCTATAATGGTCAGAAAGTTGGTCAGCGCGTCACGGAAAGCATTTCCAACAGGTCACTTCGAAGTTTTATCAACAGCTGTCCACTTCTCTGGCAGCATACTGAAGATTAAATGGCTGGCTAGCCAACCAGAAACTCTGTCTGGGAACAAATCAACAGACGAGAACCGGTTGCCTAACAAATATACAGGAAGAAATGGAAATGGATGTATCGGGTATACAATGAGGAGACTGTCGAATGTCTTAGTTCTCAATGCAGGCCATTACTCGAGTAGAATTCTGATGGGAAGCGAAGAGTGATTCATCCGACGGTGATGTGGAGGCGTGGAGAGATTATGATCAATCGTTGAGCTAGCCAGATGAACAGGACAGCAGAAAATAGTAGAATATGGAGATGTGTTGTTGAAGCCCCCTCCCTAAGTTCCACTCGGGACTCAAGGATCTTGAAAATATATGAAGAAATTAGGTGAATGGCTTAGAAGCCAATGTAGTGAGATAGTATCCTAGACGCCAACTCAAATACCTTCGTCATACTACAGTTATAAAGGCTTGAATAAGTTAACATTATAAATATATATAACAGAATTTTACTCACTTCCATAATTTCTTCTATTATGTAATAGACCACAAACATCATGAATGTACATTCACATGACAATACAAAATAGTCAAATGGTGTTACATAACGCAGAAGTTTTATTGTACGGAATTCATTTGAGATTGTTAGACCTCCTGATGGCGGAGCCTCAATAGCGATTCTACAACAAAGAAGGATAGGCGAAAACATAAGTGAGCACCTTGAGAAGCCTAATTTTTATCTGTCAGTGTACGTCATCATATGCATTATATCACTTATGCTTTTGGGTAACAATTCATTCACGTTTAGATTTGTCAATATCAAATAGGTTATTACACTTAAAATGAAGGCTGCTCATTAGAAAAAAGCAATCTAGAAAGGTTACATTATTTCACGATCATGTAATCACACTGTGGCGAGAGCTGTCTGTCAGCCAAAATTGGTAGACAGCATTTTACGTCAATGTTTACGTAGCAAATCTTTGGTCATGAGAAAAAAAACAAGGACAACATCCAATCACAGCAGCCTTTGCGTGGGCGGATACGATTCGCAGATATATGGTCTGACCTTCAAAGAAACAGCCACAAAGAAATGACAGATTAACTTTCAGTAGGAAAACAACCAATAAGAAGACGTTACCTCTGTGCTAATAATAACGAATAATAATGTACATAAAAATCTATAAATATCCATTGATCTTCTCAATAAACTATCTGTTGCCTGACTCTTTTCTCCTGTCGTTACAACACTACTTTAATCTAGTAGTCAGTAATGTAGATTGTTCCTTTCATGTATGTTTATATTTATCATGTTCAATAACTTTAATACGGGTGGATGACAGGACTTCCAAACGCCCTGTTTATCGTCAACATTTTCCTTGCCAATCCTCAGAAAGAACTAGAAGAAATTCCATAAAAATTTATGCTTTTAGAGCAAAATATAAAAACTCAGGTGTAACATAATTTACAATAGTCGATTTGTAAGGATTCGGTTTGTTTCACTACGCATTGATGTCAGTTGATGAACCATTAGAAAAACCAGCTAGGAGTAATGGACAACTGTTTCGTCCTAGTTTATGACTCACGGAACAGTAGGCACTCACACGCCACAGCTAAAACTCTGGACCTTCTGATTCTCATTAGTTACAAATGTCTACAGGATATGGAGTTTCCTAGAGTTCTAATGAGAAATCGTGACCAATGGGCTCCCTCCTGTCGAGAATACGGATAAATGCTCTCTGATAACATTGGTTGCTGGTCGTGCTAAGTGGGTCCGTAAGCTTGACTTGTATCCTTAGGGTTCTAGGTTTGAAACTCGATGGGTGCGTATTGTCGATGATTCTCAAACTATAAGGAAACAGCTGTGCAGTACTATTTGTTGGTTTTCAATGCCCCTTTAACTGATATCAATCCGTGGTCAAATATGAAAAATATAAAATAATTAGCACCTGTGTTTTGTGAAAAGATAAATGTCAGAAAGGATCTTATAAATCATTTAAATCAGTAGATAAACAACAAATTATAACGAGGATTATTATTATTATTATACATATTATGCATTTAATATCTATTGTAGTCTAGTAACCTTCAGCTTTTGAGGTTTACTTATTTCTGCTATATTATGTAATGTAAAGCAATTAGTTCCCTTTATGAATTTCTACAAAAACAATAAGAAGACGTTGTTCATCTGAAACGTGTGATGTATTCACGCAACACACGCAGCATGAATTATTCCACTACAGGTCGAATTGTGTGCAGGTTAAGGACACAAATAAGGCGTAGTACGATGACGTAAGGCTGTGGGGTAAGAAAGGAAAAAATACAGGAGGGAGGGGGTGACAATATCTTGAAGTAAGTTGAACATTATTTTCATAGAGAAAACGAGATCTATACTGTCTGTCAAACCCTCATGGCATCCGCGAATGATAATATGACACATCCCAAACAATGGAATAAACACAGTAGCTGTCTTATTCTAGGTGATTTTAATGCACCTCATATAGACTGGGTAGCTGTCACATCTCCAGGATCCGCTGATAAGTTTGACAGCCGGTTACTCTTGACAACCATGGAAAATGCCCTGACACAACATGTCTTAGGTAGTACAAGATTCGGTTCTACCCAAGGATCTTCCTTGCTGGACTTAGTGCTTACTCATGACAACGACGACGTGGATGGTCTAGTTATTCATCCACCTCTAGCAAACAGTGATCATGGGGTGTTAGATTTTAACTTAAGGGCTGGCAATTTAGTCAGTTTTCAACCCAAATCCCGGCCTAGTGTTTGGCATGCTGACATAGTGGCTATAAAGGAGCGTGCTTCAACTGCCGACTGGTCAGTCAACATTGTCTCATCCATTGAAGATGAATGGGATAGATTTAAGAATACACTTGAGAGGGTTACCACTGATCTCATCCCCTGGAGGGTTCCTAAAAGGCCAACAAATCGGCCACCATGGATAAATAGACAAGCTATAACACTCCTGAGACGGAGAAAAAGGTTCTGGAATCTCTTTGTTTCTACTGGGCTACAGCAGTTCCGGCTGAAATACTGTGAAACCAGAAACCAGTGTAAAACTTTGATCCACCAGTCAAGGATAGCTTACGAAACCCAGTTAGTTAAAAGTTCACCAGGCTGCCCAAAAAGACTCTTCTCATATATCAAGAGAAGAACACGTAAGAGTGATGCTATCCCACCTCTTATGCTTGAAGATGACCAGACAAACATGGCTGAGGATAACTTGACTAAGGCTGAGGCTTTGTCCAAGCACTTTAGTCAAGTATTCTCTGATAATATTGATACCAGCTTTGTAAATTTTCCAGAAGGTAACTTGAAAATGGCACCCTTATACATTGGAAAGGATACTGTCCTAAAGTGGCTTCTAAGGCTCAATCCTGGTAAGTCCAGTGGCCCTGATGAACTCCACCCACGTATATTAACAGCATTGGCTGAAAGCATAGCCGAGCCATTGTCGGTAATCTTCAATATGTCTCTGGACCAGTCTAAATGTCCAAGAGACTGGAAAGATGCCATCATTAGTCCGGTCTTCAAAACCGGATCTAGAAACTTAGTTCAGAACTATCGTCCTGTTAGTTTGACCAGTATTGTTGTTAAACTACTAGAAAGAATAATTCGTGATGCTATCATTCAGTTCATTGAAGGGAACAAACTTTTCGCTGTGGAACAGCACGGTTTTAGAGCAGGTCATTCTTGCTTGACCAACCTTCTTTTGGCCAGAGAAAGTTGGGCAAGCTCAGCTGATGCTAATATACCGGTGGATGCCATATTCATAGACCTTAGCAAGGCGTTTGACAGGGTTTCTCATTCAGGTCTTCTAGTAAAGTTAGGTAGTCTGGGAATCAATAAAGTGGTTACCGACTGGATTCAAGACTTTCTAAAGGACAGAAGACAAAGAGTACGAGTTAACGGGGTTTTATCAACATGGGAATCGGTTAAGAGTGGCGTTCCTCAGGGTACAATTCTAGGCCCACTTCTTTTCCTGATTTATGTTAATGAGATTCCATCGGTAGTTAAGTCATCCTGCTTACTGTTTGCTGATGACATCAAGATATGGAGGGCTTTGCACGATGACAGTGATCAACTTGCTTTGCAGGAAGATTTAAACTTGTTAAGTGATTGGTGTAAGCACTGGGCCTTGGAGATTAACTTAAGCAAGAGTGTAGTTATGCATGTATCCCATAGTCACGTGCACAATTACTCAATGAATGGCATTACTCTCCCAGTGGTCACTGAGTACAAGGACTTGGGAGTGGTTGTGCAGCATGACTTGAAAACAGCAACAAACTGTAGAACTGCAGCCACTAAGGGTTTTAGAATGTTATGGGCCATACGCAAGGCTTTTGCGAACTTTGACGCTGATATATTTCGTATATTATATCCGACTTATATCAGACCTCATTTGGAATATGGGATCCAGGCAGCGAGCCCGTGTTTCAAATACGAAATAGACTTATTAGAAAGGGTGCAAAGAGTAGGAACTAAGCTAATAAAGGGTTTCTCAACCCTGTCATATGAGGAGAGGTTAAGTCGACTGGGTTTATTTCCACTGTCATACAGACGACTTAGGGGTGACCTAATACTAGCATACCGTATCCTAAGAAATGATTTTGGAGCTAATTTATCTAAATTATTTCTTCCTTCTAGCACCAACCAATTGCGAGGACATCACCTCAAGGTTCAAAAACCACGGTCGAATCGTCTGCGTCTGGAAATCCGTTTTTCGCATCGAATTGTGAACCATTGGAACTCCCTACCGGAACACGTCGTATCAGCGCCATCCGTTGATTCATTCAAGGCGAGATTGGACCTCCTGTATGCAATAAATCGAAAGGATTAACACAGGCATATAGCCTACTATCCTAAATAAATTGTAAACTGTAAACTGTATAACAATTTACATGGATGTTTGAACCGACGTAGATAGGGAGTACCCATTGATCTCTGCAGATCACGGCTACAAAACATATTCCAAGGTGGTTGCAACGACAACAAATAAAATCACCGGATACAACTAATCCTAGAAATAGCTGTCCAACATCATTTATATAGCGACAGGTCATAAGGTTGATTTCACTAATGCTTTTGAACTAATATATAAAACAAGGTTGGGTTGCATACTTACATTATTTAAAGCCTTTGCCATAAAAAGGCTTAAACCGAGCTTAAATGTCCAAAAATTATTTTCAAAAGAATGGATACTAAACAAAGAATACTCTTTTCGATAACCTGCTCTTCATCATCAGGCTCTACAGTTATAAATACATTATAGTGAATGAATGAATTAATTAATTAGTGGTATGAACAACATTAATGTTGTTTAAATAACATCGAATCAATAATATCAACAGAGCTACTCACTATCCGTAAACAAGAAGCCTTTGTATATACGACTACAATTCAAGAGCGATATAACAAGTGAAATAATTACGAAGAAATTAAGAAAATCAGTTCACAGAACTTTTAACGCTGGCGAACTACACGTCTTATTCTCTATACAACCGATAGTGATTTCTCGACTGAAAGATGAAGTACCTAGACTAGCTAGCCACTTTAAATTGTATCTGTCAATTCAACTGCGCTTGTGATGGAACGAGTTATATTGGCCGTTGTTCGAGGAACTTGATTTTTCGTGCTCGAGAACATCTCCCTGTATGGCTCAGTAAAGGTATAGTGGAAAACATCAACAATTACACATTGGACCATCTGGTGCAAACCGGCCACAAAACCAGCCAGCGTTGGAGAATCACCTACCTTGTGCCAAATAAATTGCCAAAAACATCGAAGTACAGCATGCTCCAAACAGCAGAGCCTATTGCAATTCGCCTCAAATAAAACCAGTGCTCTGTGTCCAAAAGAAGGAAGTCAAGCCCCTACTAATGCCCTGGCCTACAGTAGAGACTATAAATTTATGAATATGTAATATTATCTTTCTATCTATTGATATTATTATTGATTCAATGTTATTTAAACATTAATGTTATTATTAACACTAATTTATTCATTTACTATAATGTATATATAACTGAAGAGCCTGATGAAGAAGGCGTTATCGAAAAGATTATTCTTTGTTCAGTATCCGTTCTTTCGAAAATTTTAATGGGCATTTTCAATCAGTCAAAAATATTTTTTTATTACTTTAAACCTGTTTTGGTGATCCAATTTAGAACCAAGGTTCAACTGACTCCTGTTTTTTTATTCTTTTTTACCCCACACCCTTAGATTGTCATCCTACACCTTATTTGTGGCCTTAACCTGTGCATACTTTGACCTATATTGGAGGTATTCATGTTGTCTTAGCTTCTATATGAATGTGTATAAAAAGTAGGTGGGTGTGTGATAAAAGCATCCGAAATCTGCTATGTAACCACATTGTGTATTTGCATATTCATAAAAGGAACTAAATTGTCGTATTGTGTGAAGACGCTGGAAATCCTATTCTGTATACCTATTGCTGTTGTTTGGAATAATATTATATATATATATATATATATATATATATATATATATATATATGAATTGTGCGTTGGTGGCACAGTGGTAGCATGCTCGGCAACCACACATCTGTTTCGGGGTTCGATCCCCGGCCTGAGATGCACTCCCTGACCTCTCTAAGCCAGTAATTTGACTGGTAAAGAGGGGAGGTTGAGCATGAGGCTAGCAACTCCTTCCCGTAAAAATAAATACCACTGCTACAGAAACTTCAAGCCTATAGCTTGAAGCCCAGAGTTCCACTGAGAACGTAAAGGAATTATATATATACATCATATTCAAGTCTTAAAGTTTCAGTCACATTGGTGTTACTCTTCCCACAAAGTGGAGTTACTAGCCTTATGCCCATCGTTCCGGCCTTTTCTCGACTTAATACCATCAACTAAATGGGATTTAGGCCGTACGTTGACTGGAGATGGAGTGTGCAAACTTTTAAAACATTCGACATAAATTTGAACTGCAACCGGATTTCATTAAAATATTTGGCAAATGCAGTGCAACACTTCGAAGTACAAGTATTCTGAAATTTAGTTCTAACCATCAACTCAGAGTTTCCGAACTTTTTCTAACATTGGCTTTTTCCAACCTAATCGATTATTTCAAAATAAACCGTTATCATTCAGGTAACCATTACAAACTAGGGAATACTAGACAGCTGCTGGAATTCTCTCGAGCAGTTCTCATCCATGACTCAATAGTTGCTCGAACCTGTAACATCCAGATTATAAGACAAGCATGTTTCACCATTCACAACCACTAGAACAGGGTTGGATAGTTCATATAGCTACTTTTAAAATTATCTTGATAAATTCAATAAATTCGTCAACACTTTGGAGATTTAAAAAAAAGAATATTTCACTTACTCAGCAACGCAGAATAAATTCATATTTGCATTATATGTTGTAAAGTGTAGAAATATCACTCTTGTGCCTCTGTCTAACCATAAATTTTGAAATAGCGTATCCAACTGACTACTTGCATTATTTCGATTACGTGATAAGTCCACATAGTAGCCACCGCCACTGTAAAGTCCAACTGAACCCCAAAATGTTGACATACCTAATTGTTGCGATGATGTATAAGTCCATCTATATATTAAAAAAGAGTTAAATGAAGAAATATTTGTTTAATAGTAGATGAAGGCATATGAGTGTTGGTTCAGTTAATTTAATACAGTCAGTTTTGTAGTGAATTTCGTTTGTTTGATTGGTTGGAGAAGCTGATATCAGTTAGAGAACCATTGGAAAACCAACAGGGAGCACTGGCCTGCCATCTGTTTCGTCAGACTAGTTTGAGACTCTTCAGCAGTACTCAGTTTGAATGTGAGGCATTTACTCACCGAAGAAGATATTGGCTATTGGTCACACTACCTCTTAAATTGACAGAACTTAGAATTCATTGGTTGGTCACTGGAGTGTGTCCCAATGGCTTAATTGTCTACGAGCTAGCTCACCTTGTGATCGGAAGGTTCTGGGTTCGAATACTGGCGGTGAGTGCGTAGTGCTGAATAGTCCCAAACTATGACGAAACAGCTGTCCGGCACATCAGTGGTCGTTTTCCAATGATTCTCTAACTGATGACACCTCATGACGAAATCCTCCGACCAAGCGAATAAAATCTCTTTAGGGACGAATACCTGAAACATTATTACAATTAGATTATGGGATTTGCGTGGAGATTCGGAATGATTAAATTTCATTTGTTAGACTTCATCATGAGGCAACATCCGTTATAGAGGAAGTTGAAAACTGGCACACTGGAGCACTGGAGAGCCATCCGTCTTATTTTTGAGTTGTCCAGGATCCAGGGTCTTCTGGTTACAGGGAGGGCTAGCTAGCTTGTAGACCATTAGGCCACAAGGACCTACCAATCCAATGGCCAGTCTATGCATTCTAACTTTTGCCAATTCATAACATAGCGCAACCACTTCGCAATGTCTTCTCCGATAAGTAACTGTCCTCTTCGACCTGATTTACCCTACTGGTCATGGCTTCCCAGCAGAACCCCAGTTTAACTGCCTGGGTAAAGACCAGTCACTAGTGAGCATCAGATCAGTTTTTTCAAGTATTGGTTTTGTAGGAATTTTGTTTGATCGGTTCAAGGCTTTCATCATGAGCTGACATTAGTTATAGAACCATTTGAAAAACCAGCTGGGAGTATTAAACAGCTATTTCACTAGCCCAGTTTACGACTATTCAGCTGTATGCACCCACTGACAGGGTTTGAACTCAGAGCCTTTTAGTTACAAGGCGAGCTAGCTCGTAGACCATTAAGCCGCTGAGAGCCGATCCAATAGCCCATGTACTTAATAGAACACACATTGATACAGTGTCAATAACTGGATAACGTTTCAAGCATATCACTGCATTCAATTTACTTTTTAACTAGCCCTATTTGTGGCCTTACCTTTTCCTGTATATCAGGGATAAATGTGGCATCATTCCTATCGTATTTATTGATTGCTGAATCGGTGAGCAGTGTGATTAAGTGATTAACCTACTTCTCAGGCTAACTACATCGCTTTTGCTTGATATAAGTTGGTTGGAGCAAATCGGTAGGAAGCGTTGCCTGATCTAGGTTTCGTGCTAGTTGGCATTCATGCGCCAGTCAACAAGGCGTATCTGAAACCATGAAGAAGCTCATATCTCTTCTGACAGAATTCAGTCTTCACCAAACAAAAGGCTAGACACACTACACTAGTCAGCGACTAATGTCCAGTGAAAGTATCCAATACAGTCCTACAGGAGGTCAGTAACCGTATGCCCGAATGGCTTAGTGGTAATGTGTCTGATTGCAGTACTCACTGGGTGACGCAGGTTTGCATTTCAACAGGGACATTAGTTCCTCCAAGGCGGTTACAGATACACCTTTCTGACTGCTGAATGTCAACTTACACGAAATCTAGGTTAGGTAGGGCTTCCTGCAGATTTCCTGCAACTATATAATATCAGCTTTGATGTTTGTCTGAATATCAAAAGGGGCATGAATGGATAGCTTCTGAGTGAGAGATTCAACTAATTTCAGTTGAGCTGCTTCCTTCTGAGCTTTCTGCTGCTGTAAGATGATGTCTTGTTTGCTTTCAACAACTGCTATCCTTCTTTACAATTCAACATAGAAAAGGAATTCGAACTAAGTATTCCTTTTCTGGATGTGGGCCTTAGCAGATGTAATGATGGATCTGTCAAAAGATCTATCCACCGGAAACGTACATGGAACGGATTACTAACCAATTTTTATAGTTGGTTGCTTATCTCTAGGAAAAGCAGCCTAATTCACTAGCTCTGCTTTAGGATAAGAAACAATTAATGTAGTTTTGATTACGTTGACTCAGAACTTGACTTCTTAGAAGCTCCACTCGTAGAAAATGGCTACCCGAACTGACAGTAATACGAAAGATAAGCAGTCTTAACTGGTCATCGACTCAGTTCCAAGGAAAACCTTATTCATGAACTTGGAATTCGAAGGTGATTAGGCTTCAGATATGCTCAAAAACCATTTCTCCAACTCAGCCTGTAAGACGTTCTTTGCAGCAAAATTACAAATGACCCTCAACAGCCGTAAGTTATTCTCCATCTCTGTAAAAGTTAAGGTCCCCTGTCTGGCCACCTCCATGTGAATCTGTCAGTTCACCTGCTCTTGTAGAGCAAGGTACATCGGTCGAAGCCAGAGAACGCTTTTCACACGGATACGAGAACATATTGCAGCTGCATGGTTTTACAAGGGAGAAAGGGAGAGTGTGAAAAGCTCTATTCTAGAACATATGATCGACTTCTGTCAACCCTGACCGTGATTTCAAGATCATATACTGAATCCACGCTAACTTGCCGCGTTTTATTCTTTACAGACTTCTAAAGACAACAGAATCCTTAACCATTCATGAATTTAAGCCAGACCTTTGTGTACAAAAGAACTATGTACAATCCCTACATAGGAATGGACATTTATTTATTTTGTTTATTTATTTATTCTATGTACTTTTCCCTTATTACTACGATTTTTATTATTATCATTATTATTATTACTATTCTCACTCTGAATTGTTTCCACTTGACCTACTTGTCATTTTAAACCCAAAATTAGTCATTTTTATACTTTTTATTTTTACAATTTTAAATTCTACCTTGTCAGATTTCACACCACGTTATGTAACATTTTATAGTCGTCTACTAATCCTACAATTAAGTACCCCTTTCCAAAATCTATTTACCTTATGTATTATTCTACATATGACATTATTTGTTTTGATATTTAACTATGATTACAATCACAAGTATTTTAATTGCATTTCATACTACCACTATTATTATTTCATATATTCACGCCTTTGACCTAATTCCCCAACCGGATATAATTTCTTTAGAAAAAACCATATGTATACGATTGTACAGCTTGATAATAAACTCGTTGAAAAGCATCTCTTCGCTGAATATTGTGTTTTTAATACTACAATGGGAATTATTAAATTATTGAAAAAATGCAAATATTTGAAATCAACCATAGAAATGAACATTGTAAATGAGGTGGAATTGATACAATCGGCGAATTTTCATGTCTGGACTGAACCAAATAGTTCTGTTGCCAATATATATATATATATATATATATATATATATATATATATATAAACGTCGGCACTGAGCTGAATAACCCCATCGTCAATTATTATGCTCTTTATCGCTAGTTGAAATGAACTGGTCGCCAATTTGTTATGGTTCTGTCACTAAAATATGAGATGATCTCTTCAACAGCTGATATGACCAAGTGGAGTTTTGCGTGAGTGTGGCTACAGGGAAGTGTGGTAGTATTTTCGGGGCGTTCAATGCCAAAAAATCTAGTTTCAAGGAAGCTGCAAACCTATTTTAGAAGATGCACTAGAGTCCCCTCGGATGCAATGATTTCACTTGACTCGTCGAGGTTGTCAGACTCTTTCCTTTGTCTAAATTTATTTCAGGCTTGTTATTTTTTTTCGCGAGTGGTGGTCTAGAGTTACTAAATGCCTTGGAAAATGTGGACGAACAAGAAATAATAGAATTTATTCACTCTCACCAGATTTTACCCACAGGTACATTTTAATATACAAATAATGGCTGCTGTTTTAAGTGCACACGAACCGAAAAGTGGTTTCAGGAGGTTGAATCTTAATGGATGGTCATCAGATCCTGAGAAGGTAGGGTCATGTTTTATCACATAGTGTTTCCTGTGGTAATTATGCAACTGTGACGTGTTTCACTATTTCCTCTGGTAACTTCAAAATGTTAATGTGTGGCTATTGCCATTTGTCCAATTACTTTATGTATTGTGAAAATTAGTTTGTTAGTTGTGTTCTTTCCGTGAGTTCCATATATCAGTTCTCTACTTCATAACGTATTTGTGGTACGGAATGTAGAAATTCATTGTATTATGACTAACTACCATAATACCTGTAGTAAAAACAACAGAGGATATGGGACTCCTTTTATCAAAATACTCGCGTGTGTTCATGAACTCATAAACTTATAGGCGAATTCTATTTACTGTCTTCTCCCGATTGGAATGTTCTTACAAAAGTGAACAAATGAATTTCCTACGCTGTCTAACAGATTGCTTTCGAGAATTTCATTCTGAGATGGGAAACTCCGATTGCACCTCTATGGTGTATATAGACTTGGATTTGAAGATGAGAAATGACGTACGAACCTGTTTTAAAAGCGTGAGCAATGGAAACATACACCGAATGTTAATTTACTGCGTTGTGTAACGCTTAAGTCGAATGTTTTTGACTGTCTCTTTTAAGAAAACAGTGTGATTTGGTCTCGACAGGCGAGCAGCTTAACTCACATCTAGGCTTTCTTAAAATATCGTGCCTATAGCTATATCAACCGTATATGTAGTCATATAGTTCATTTTATAAATATTTATGTATATATATACATATGTATATATATAATGAACTTTCACTTGGCTTTGGTATCTTCATAACAGTGATTAGGACTCTCGCCGACCATGCACATGGTCCGAGGTTCGATACCCTGCCGACGCACACCTGATATCAATTGGTCAGCCTGCAAAATTTGCTGAAAATTCCATACTTGTACCAAAAATACAGTGTGGAATCAAGCTATAATCAAAAATAAAGAAAATAAATAAATAATAATGACTCAATGGACATCTCTACTGGTATGCTAGATACACCCACTTGTCAGTTGTACCTTCTGTTTTAGGAGAATCGACACTTCATATTTATTTGCTTTTTACCACATTAAATTCTGCCTAAGGCAGTGAAGTTGGGTTGCTATGATTAATTGGTGACTCGGTTAAGGCAGGCGAAAAGCAATTATTCTGATTGGTTGCCGATTCGACCAAGGTTGATTTATCCAATGACACGGTGAATCACATGATGAGGCATACGATGATTACTATTTTGAGCTGATTCCTTTCAGTCGCAGGTTATTATTCAACAATCAGCAGATAGAATACACTTGTGTGATACAGCGTTAGTAACTGGATTCAGGTGTGTTCATAGCTAGAAGTTCCAGGGCTTCAGTAGATTACATCAGTATATTGAAATGGTACTACTAACTATTGACTTCACTCCATCTAGACTGAGGTCTTTCAGTACAATTTCAACTGATTAGTCTCCACACTTATGCGCCTATTGAACAAAAATGAAGCTTAATTATACCTTCTACCATTCACATCCAACGAGTCTGTAGCCTTGACACTCTGGAAGAGGAGTTAGACCCATTGACAGGACTTTGTTTCCGAAAATGGATACCCACTGAAATTTATTGACAAGAATATCAAGCAGTGAGTTCGGACAGATGGAATACTGCTTGCACGGAAAAATAAAACTTTATATGAACCTTGATTTCAAAAAATGTCCTTAAGAGAAGAGAATTTTGAACATCTTTGGAAAGAACATTCTTCGTGGCAATGCTAAACGTTGTGTTCTTCAATAGTTTTTTCCCTGATTTCCAGACGCTTGAAATACAAGATCTCACATCTAACCATTTCTGTTAGTTCACCTGTTCCTATTCAGCTGTTTTTTTGACATCTATCCTGCCCAAAAGGGTTCAAGAATGCCATCTCACTGCATGGTTGAAGAAAGGTAACACTGCCTGACAGATGTCAGTTGACACGGGGCATCCTGTCGCAGCAAACCCCCCTATCAAAGTAATATACAAAGTGAGGAATTACCTCCACTTAAGTGGTGAATCTGTAGCCATTCAGACAAAGACACCAGAGCGCTGCACACAAAAGAAAGCTATTCAACCATTTCTGCTTTCACAGTATCGACTCTGTTATTTCCTACCAACCTAATTTTTATTTAGTTGTTTCTTACTCGTACATTTCCTCCAAACTGTTACTCAATATCGCATTTTCCTTCGTTTCAGTGTGTATCCTGAATACGACTTATACACCAAATTATTTATCTGTTACACAATTCTAATAACCCTATTCAACTCCTTTAATTCATTATTTAATATTATTTATTGTTCCTTTGGATTCCTAGTGGACCATAGGGCTTCAACTGCACGTCTCCACTTGCTTCTGTCTTCCTTCTACTGTACTTTCCACCTGCATCAATGTTCACCATCCAGACTGTTTCAACTCTTCACACGATCTCCTCCATGTCACCCTTGCACTGACGTCCCACTCGCCGCTTCCCTTTCGGCCTGGTTCCACTGGAGCAATGGCCTGAAGCGCGATGTCACCAACCGGCCTCTTCAACGAGTGTCCAATCCATCTCCACTTTCTCCTGCATATTTGTTGGTTAGCGATTGGTTCTTGTTTTGTTTGCTTGTTCCCATAGTTTCTTGTTGGCGGTGATTCTTTCCGGCCCGACCATCTGATCTTCAGTATAGAGCGAAGACAGTTGTTGATAAAGGTCTAAGTTAGCCTATTGGAAATATTCTTTATGACCCGCCAGCCAAGTTTCTAATCCATTTGGAGAACTGACTTGAAGTTTGTATTGAAAATCCGACTGAATTTTGTTGTTGATGCTGGCTGAATGACGAAGACTTCCAGATCGGTTTCAGGTTGATGAATGTGTTTCTTGCCTTCCCGATTCTCGCTCGATTTGACATCCTCGTCCGTTCCTCCTGTAGTTGAGACAATTGTTTGTCAACATTAATAATTAGGATTTTAAACATCTGATTTGTAAGGATATGATTTGTTTTTCTCGTTAGAGAACCATTCTTAAACCACCAGGGAGTACTGGACAGCTGTTTCATTAGCCTAGTTTGGGATCCATCGGCAGTAACCTTCCACACCACGGAATTTGAACCCAGGACATTCTGGTTACAAGAGAAGCTCGTATACCATTCACCTACTGGGACCTAATCGAATTGCCAGCCCATGAATTCTAACTTCTACCAATCCGTGATTTTAGCGCGACCACTACCCAAAGTCTTCGGTGAGAAATCCATCCTCACACTTGACTGGTTGAACCTCACTGGTCTTGAAAACAAATCTAGTCCTTACAAACCAAACTCTTGAAAATTAATCTGACTCTAGCTAGTGACTTGCTACAGGACGAAGTTTCCTGGAGTTCTAGTCAATAATCGTGACCAGTGACATTCAGCCAGCTGTGAATGAAAACGTATTTCCAACTGATGACATCACGAATTGGTAAAAGTTGGAATTCATGGGATGGTAATTCGAATGGGGTCCAGTAGCTGAATGGTATACGAGCCTATCTTGTGACCGGAAGGTTCTGGCTTCGAATCCCGTGGTGTGGGTGTGTACTGCCGATGATTCCCCAACTAGGCTAATGAAACAGCTGTCCAGTACTCTTAGCTGGTTTTGAATCCTCCTCCAGCTGACATCAACCTTTGGTCAAACTCGAAGAGGTAGGTTTCTGACAGTTCGTCACTTAAATTACTCTCCTCTTTCGTGACAAATGGTTGTACATAAATGCGGTTGCTCAGGTAATGATGACGATTAATCATGAATGTTTTTTAACTCACTATCTTTCTAAACTCGCATATTTACACACACGCAAAACAAGTTATCACTTTATCAAATTCAATGATTTTATACTTACGCTGTATCAACTTTCAGTCCAAACGGTGTTTTATCCTCATTTGATTCATGATATTCAGCAAAGCATTCTTTTATATCATTAGAGAAGTAGACTGGAACAGCGCACGAGTTGGAGGCTACACGTAACTGCCGTAAGCGTGGTACACCAATTAAACGATTTTGATATAACAGAGTTAAATTATTTTCAGATACGAATGGTTGAGAGTTATACCATGAATCAGTATACCAACTGTCCATAATCGGTCCTTTTATTACCTGTAGGAAAATGTAGGGAAATGCAAAATTAGAGGTGAATAGACAGAATGCAGTTAAAACAGAAGACAAAATGATGCTTTTAGAAAATACGTCTAAAGTCAGCTAATAGACAAAAGACTAGTAGTTCAGCGAAGAGTCTCTTTTCGGCGGCGAATTCATTTTCATAGCTGTACAATCGCAAATATATATGGTTATTTTGTGTGTGTGTGTATATATGTATGTATACATTAAGTTCATCAAACGAAAATACAGTTAGTAAGTTCAGATGAATTGGATGTTGATAAGAGGATAGTAACAGAAGCCCAAACGACAAGATTCCGCACATGACCACTTCTGTGTGTATATATCAGGTACATTGGTCGTTCAACGCGCATCCTGTCAAAAAGGCTCAAAGAACACTATCCAGATTGGCTGCAGAAAGGAAGTATTGGCCGTATAAGAAGTGCAATAATCGAACTTCTCGTCAACACTGGTCATTCTATCTCAACAAACACCTCCTTCAAAGTAATCTACATAGTGAAGAACAACCTTCCAAAGACAGTACTATTCCCTCTTCTTTGCATTGCAGAAGCCCTAACCATTCAGTTGGTGGAACCAGAACTATGCATACAAAAGAAAATTATTCAACCACTTCTACTCACAACTCCGTTGATTTGACTTAACTTTTGTTTGTTTGTTTGATTTGACCTTACTTCTGTTTGTATGTTTACTTTTCTGACTTAAAACCCCTGTGTAATTGTGTACATTATTTGATTTCCATGTATACCCTGAGCACAACTCTTTCATCACACTATTCACGCCATCAAGTAACTCTTATTTAACAATCATTTATGACAACTCATCACTTTTGTTACTGTCCTCTTATATCAACATTTAATTCATCTGAACTTACTAACTGTATTTTCGTTTGACGAACTTAATGTATACATACATACACACACACACACACAAAATAACCATATATATTTGCGATTGTACAGCTATGAAAATGAATTCGCCGCCGAAAAGAGACTCCACTGAACTACTTGTCTTTTGTCTATTAATGTTCAAATGGGAATTATTCATGAATTATAAAGTCAATTAGATAACCAACAGAAAGGAGAATTTAACACATTGCTGTTAAGTCGTGTAATTTAAAAATCCCCTTTTGTAACATTATTATTATGGTCTCCTTTAATTACTAGAGGAACAACGTAGTGCTTCAGTCGCACGCCTCCACTGCTTTCGGTTCTCTCGCTCCATATCTGCTCGCATGCTTTCATCTCCTCTTCACATGACTTCCTTTATATTGTCACCCTCGCACTTACGACCAACTCGCCAATTTCCATTCATGTTCCACTTGATCAATGCCTAGGAGTGCAATGTGGCTTGATGGTTTGTTTTCCCAGAGTATCACCAGTGCACCTACATTTCTTCCTCCACACGTTTTTTGCCCAGTCGGTTCCTGATGGGTTGGTTCGCTCATTGCCAGAGATCTGTGTTGCTGATCTCTTCTGGTTGGCCGTCTGATGTTGAGTAGTATTGAGCAAAGACAGCTGTTGATGAAAGTCTGTAGTTTGCTCGAAGTACCTTTGTAACATTAAGAACACAATATTCAGTGAAGAGACTCTTTCCAACCAATTTATTATCAAGCGGCACAACGGCATATATATATATATATATATATATATATATATAGTCTTTTATATTCAGAAACTATATGTAGTGAGGAAATTCAAACAAAGTTTTGAATACATAAAATAGTAATAATAATATGAGATACAATTGATATATACGTGATGATAATCGAGCACTTAGGTCCAATCAATCGACGGGAAAATCTAAACTTCAGTTAATTAATCAATATGACCTGTTGCGCACGAGGTGGCTCTCGTGGACCGAGTAGTCTAGTAGAAAACGCTTTGGCATTTTAAACTATGGACACTGAGTTCGAGCCTCGGTGGGAACACCATCAATCAGTGGGGAATGCCAGATGACGAGTCCCAAATAGGACGAGATGTGCGTTGTATTGGATTCCACTGCTAGTCACCATCCACCAGTATATATATATATACATGTTGCAAGAAGGTGTATAACTACGGGACTAGCTGGCTGATATAAAACGTTTTATAACATGGTGTGGAATCTGATAAGGTAGAATTCAATATTCTAAAAATTTATTTGGATTTAGAATGACAAGTGCGAATAGCGGAAACAATTTAGAGTGAGAATAATAATAATAATCGTAGTAATGCGGGAAAGGTACACAGATTAACTAAATAAACGAAATAAATAAATAAATGTCTATCCCTCTACAGCCAAGGCTGAACTAGGGATTGTACATACTTCTTTTGTACACAAAGGTGTTTGGCTTAAAGTCATGAATGGCTGAGGTCTCCACCATCTTTAGAAGTTTATAACAAAGAAAATGTAGCGTGTTAGCATGAATTCGATAGATGACCATAAAATTATGGTCAGGCTTGGTGGAGTGACAGGAGTCGATCAAGCGTTCTAGAGCTGTTATCAAATTACGATGTATAGTGCCACGGCCAGGCAATGTTGTCTGAAAGTATTTATCTTCACAGACGAGTTGACCGACCGCTTAGAGACGGTTTATCTCTAGGACTTCAGTCAACTTTATCCTGTAGTTAGCTACCAGTCAAAATTGGATTAATATGCAAGACTTATATCGTGCAAAAACCCTACCAAACATGTGGAAACTTTCTAATGAAATTACTGATAGTGATGGCGGTAGGCAAAGTATTATTGTACTCGCTGTTCATCTACATACTCTTAATAAATCTCCCATACCATTTAATACTAAATTTATCAATCGTAATCATATAAATCTTAGAGTTTGTGACTTTGACGGTTTTAACACGCTGGATGTTATCAAATGTCTCAAACCTATAAAACCTTCCCAAAGCCTTGGTCAAAATAGAGTTCCAGGAGTTGTAGTGATAGTGATAATGATAACAACAATATTAATGACGACATGCATGTCAAACATGCACAGGATAATGACAACACCGACAATAGGAAATCTAAATCATCAGAAGTAGCTCCATTCAAAGAAAGAACCTCGGGAACCACCTTACGAAGAATTCTTAAAAAGGCCAGAATAAAAGTGGCATTCAAATACCCACAAACTAAACTAGAAACAAGCCTTGTTGTTTTAAGGATCCTGTGGAACTTTTAAAACAAAGCAATTTAGTTTGTCTAATACTCTGCAATGATTGTCAGGTCAAATACATAAGTCAGAGTAGTAGAACAGGGAGTTCAAACCCAGGACCTTCCGGTTAGAAGGCAACCTCGCATACCATTCAGCTACTAGGGACTCGATTCAATGGCCAGCCCATGAATTCAGCGTTCTACCAATTCGCGATTCAGCGCGACCACCTCACTGGTCTTGACTTCTCACTAGAACTCCAGGAAACTCCAACTTGTATCAATTTACTAGCGAGCATTAGATTAATTTTCTATAGTTGGTTTCAACGATTAGTGTTGTTTCTTATGAATTGATCACGGATTGATATCAGCTAAAGAACCATTGAAAACCAGGAAGTAATGGACAGATACTTCATCCTAGTTTGGTGTATGAGCTTGCCTTGTTACCAGAAAGTTCTGGTTTCAAACTCCATGGTGTGGGTTAGTACTGCTGATGATTCTTAAACTAGGCTAATGAAACAGCTGTCCAGTTCTCCTAACTGGTTTTCAATGGTTCTGTAACTGATATCAATCCGCGATCAAATTGTAAAAAAATAAAACTAATCCCCTCATATCAACTATAGAAAGCTAAAATGTATTTCAAATCACATTATAACATTCCAACAAAATACCTATTTATTTTACAATAAAAACCATTTTATTTCCCATATTATTGTATTTTATTGATAATAATTTTTCCTTCACGTTCCCAGTGGAATATAGGGCTTCAAGCTAGTGGCATGAAGATTCTGTAGCAGTGTTTATTTTTACAGGATGGAGTTGCTAGCTAGCCTCATGCCCAACCTTTCCTCTTTACCAGGATTAATTCTGGCTTAGCGAGGTAAAGGAGTGCGTTGGCGGCCGGTGATCGAACCCCGGACCATGTGCATGGTCGGCGAGCGTCCTAACCACTGTACCACCGACGCACATTTTATTGATAACACTAATATTATTTTCTCTGAATGTACATTATATTATATTGATTTCATTCAAATGTCTAGTCATCAGTTTTTACTCATGTGTATAGATGAAGCAAGAAAGTTGTGTGAGTAGTGCCTTGATATGATTATAAGGAGCAGTGATAATTTGTGCTCGAAACTTGGTCATAAGTACATATTACTTAGTGTATAACACTACACTGTGTGATTTATCATAATAAAATCTTATCTCTAGTAGAGTTACACTCTACCACGACAGTGACCAAGTTTTATACTTATATCAATATTACACTATCTCCAGAAAGAATTTGACATTTTATCAAGCTTTCAGAATGTTTATAGCTTAGTTAAATTACTTACCGACCATAAACTATCAAATGTATTGACATTATTCAATGCATCTGTCCCATTAGGCACTTGATTTGTAAGAAATGTATTTTGCATACTACTTGTGAGTAGATACGTATTCGAATTGAATGGTCCATAAGCAACTAAAAAGAAAAAAATTAAATGAATAGATTCCAATCTTAGAAAATCATAGAAAAAGGAAATTCTGCAAATCTTCAATTTACCAACTTAAATGCCAGTTAGAATCCTGCAGTGACCTCTAAAACTTTACTTGTGAATAGTGTCGTTGTATTATTATTAGTAATATTGGAGGTCAACAGCACTCACCATCAAAAATAACATCCGGATTTTCAACTCCAATGTGAAATCTAGTCAGTACTACTCACTATACGGATCAGAGACTTGGCGCGTCATAAAGAGCATCTCAAACAAACTACAGACGTCCATTAACAGTTGTCTTCGCTCAATACCACTCAAGATCAGATGGCCGACCAGAAAAGATCAGGAACAGTAAGGGATCTCTGGAAGCGAACCAACGAGGAACAGATTGTGCAAGAAATAAGCAGGAAGAAATGGATATGGATTGGCCATCCTCTGAGAAAACAAACCATCAAGTGACATCACTAGATAAGCCATTGCTCGAGTGGAAGCCGAATGGGAAGCTGTGAGTTTCTCGTCAGTGTGAGGGTGGCTTGGAGTCTATCATATGAAGAGGAGATGAAAGCATGCAGGCAGACGTGGAGCCAGGTGAAACTATTGGCGGAGAAACGAAAGCAATGAAGACGTGCGGCTGAAGCCCTATGTTCCTCTAGGAATTAAAGGATATAATAATAATAATTCCTTTGCTTTCCGAGCGGAACATAGAGCCTTAGCAACACACCTACACTTTGTTCTGTTTCCTGCCATCCTCTTCAGCTAGGTCCACGATTAACCAAACTCTCTCAACTCCTCCTCCAACACACATGAGCTCCTCAATGTCACTCCTGCACCGACGACCCACTCTTCACTTCAAGTATGGATTTCAATCGGCTGATGGTCTGCATTATGCGAGTTGTCTTTTGACAATTTCCTAAATGTATTCCGATCAATCCATCTGCATTTTCTGCAGCACATTTGTTTAGCGACTGGCTCTCGTGTGTCGGTTTGTTCATCGCCAGAGATTCTTGTTGCTTATTCTTTCTTGCCTGCAGTATGGAACCGGGTGTTGATGAAAGTCTGCTGGAGGCTGTCAGAAATCCGTTTGGTGACACGCTGTCCAACCTTCTGATCCACACAGAAGGGGCAAACTGATATTGGTGTTGAAAATCCGAATCTTTTTCCTCATGCTGAATGCGGACGATTAACAAACTAGTTTCAAGCGTATATCTTGCCTTTCCGATTGTGATTTTGACATCTTCGTCCGTTCCGCCTGTAGTTGAAACGATGCTTCTTAGATAGGTAGGGAAAGAAACCTCTGTTAAATCTCTCCAGTTGGTGGTGATTGATGCTGTTGATGTGGCTGTTGGTTGGTTGGTTGGTTATCTTCACCACATTTGTCTTCTTTATGTTCAACTGAAATCCTGTTTTCGCTGTCTGAATCTTCAACCAGTTTGTTGCTTTTTGCCTGTTTGAAATTCTTCGAGTTTGTGTGACATTAGACATGTATCATCCATGCGTTAAATCCAGATCTTCTAGAAGTAGTTTCCAAATTACTTCTCGGTCAACGCTTTCTATCGAAAACCTTTGCAAATTGGTCGTTGAAGCTAATGTAGGGAGAGGTTTGACTGCCATTCTATGCCTTGTTCTGTGATGACGATGCGTTGAGTTTCAATTTGATCAGCACATGATTTGCCTGCCTTTCCTGAATACAGCTTGTTCTGGTGAGCTGGCGGAGTTCTTCACCTAGTGCATCATTCATTCTCTCCAGGACGACACAAATTAGTATTCTACTTGGCGTGGACAAGAACATAATTCCACTCCAGTTCTTGAATAGGCCTAAGTCGCCCTTCTTTGGCATTTTGTCGAGGTACCCTTTCTTCCAATCGGTAGGCACCTTTCCTTCTTTCCAAACCTTTTTGCAATAATGACGTGATCATGATTGCCGTAGTTTCTGTGTCCGTTTTCAGTGATTCAAAGTGAGGGAATTACATCTGGTCCTTCTTTCTTCCTGGACATCAGCTGCGTGGAGGGGCATTCAGGATTTCTTCTTTTGTTGGAGGACTGGTATCCATCGGCAGTTCTGTGCTTGTTGCCATTGTACTGGACCGTAAAATATAGTTTCCAGTTTAAATGAAGTTGCTAAGTTCATTCGATTTGCCTTTTTAAGGCATTTTCGCCAAACGACTGACTGACTTCAGTACTCACTAGCTCCGGGGTTCCAGAGTGGTTGTCTTTCTGCTTTTTCGACAGGAAACGACGCAGTGTTTTTTTTAACAGTAAGTGCTCCATGTTCTTCGCTTACTGAAGCTGGTAGGTCTCATAGCGATGTACCTCCCTCATTCTATGACTTACAATATTCTTTCAAAGCCAACTTCATGAAATTTGCTTATGCTATGACAATATCTGTACAGTTTGTTTCTGCGATAAACTGTTCTCGTATGAGTAGTTTCCTATTTGATGTTAACGAGTAGACCTAAGCACAACTTCTTTTGATGTCAGACTGTAATTATTTGTTTCATTCGCAGGATTCTTGTGATATTGACGGCATCTTGGTGGGAAAGAAATTCAACACTGCATGTCTTGGTATCTGTCTCACTTCCAGTCTTTGTTAGTTGTCTCATATTTTGTTAATCTCTGAGATGATCTTCCGTTTGACATAAGGAAATTGAGGCTATCTAGCATAATCCAACCTCTTCCCTTTACAGATTAGTAATTCATATATTCTACCCCATTCTTATTTATTCTTACCTGTTATACTTCCCTCGGCTTCATATTGCGTAGAACACTGAAGGTTGGGAGCAAGGTGAGTGGGGTGTACCCCTTTGACTCAACTAACTGACAGAGTGTTGCTGATAGGCATTTTATTTCTTGCAAGCACTTGGCTAATATCAGTTTTCAATTAGAAATCTTCTTGAGGCATTACTCTAATTTACAAAGATTTGTTCATAAAAATTTTAATCAATGATAGTTGTTAGCAAGTGCACAGAAGTAGTACCCTCAAAGTTATCTATCACATTCCATCGTGCCAATCGAATGGAAGTCAAACCCGTCTTTTACACACACACATAGCCAGAGATGCTGTGTGTGAATTAATTATAGAAGAGAAAGCCTACTCTTTGAACACAATAAAAGTGGTTTGTTCTACATTTGTCTCTCCTCTGCTTAGCCAAGGTCGATTGTAATTAAAGCCCTCCCACACTATTTAATTTTGCATTTCCTTCCTATTATTATGATATGTATTTAAACTCTCATTATCTGTACACTTCATCTTTAGTATCACGTAACTTGTCATCATATACAATTACAAATTACCACGAACGCTATTCGTATCACCATCTGAATAAACCTAATTATCATTAGATGGCATCGTTATAATCACTGTTTCTGCCAACGACAAACATACATCACATCCAACAATTATACGAAAGTGATGCATGCCAAGTAATCCACAACCGGAAACTTACGGAAGCCTTCGAAGTGAGGACGGGAGTGAGGCAAGGCTGCCTCCTATCTCCAGTGATCTTCCTGATTGCAGTAGATTGGATGATGTGACAGACAACGGCGGGCAGTGAGGAAACAGGCACAAAATGGACTCGCACAAAAAACTTGGAGGATCTGGACTTCGCCGATGTGATGTGTGTCTGATTTCCCACAAACTGGAAGATATGCATGCAAGTGAAAAGCAACAAGCTGGAGGTAGAAGAAGCATCCAGAGAAGATAGGACTTCAGGTGAACATAGAGAAAATACAGGTAGGTGATGAAGATTCCTGGCCAACACCAACAGCAACAACAACAACAATAGACAACAATCAGCCAGCATAAATGGGAGGAACCTGAAAGAAACAGCCTCCTTCACCTACCGACCTGAGAAGAATCGTTTCAACTATAGGCCAACGGAACTGACGAGGATATCAAGGCGAAAATAGGGAAAGTAAAGCAAGCCTTCATTACTCTCAAGTTTGTGTGGAGGTCAACAGCACTCACCATCAAAAATAACATCCGGATTTTCAACTCCAATGTGAAGTCAGTCAGTGCTACTATACGGATCAGAGACTTGGCGCGTCATAAAGAGCACCTCAAACAAGCCACAGACCGTCATTAACAGTTGTCTTTGCTCAATACCACTCAAGATCAGATGGCCGGCCAGAAAAGATCAGGAACAGTAAGGGATCTCTGGAAGCGAACCAACGAGGAACAGATTGTGCAAGAAATAAGCAGGAAGAAATGGATATGGATTGGCCATCCTCTGAGAAAACAAACCATCAAGTGACATCACTAGATAAGCCATTGCTCGAGTGGAAGCCGAATGGGAAGCTGTGAGTTTCTCGTCAGTGTGAGGGTGGCTTGGAGTCTATCATATGAAGAGGAGATGAAAGCATGCAGGCAGACGTGGAGCCAGGTGAAACTATTGGCGGAGAAACGAAAGCAATGAAGACGTGCGGCTGAAGCCCTATGTTCCTCTAGGAATTAAAGGATATAATAATAATAATTCCTTTGCTTTCCGAGCGGAACATAGAGCCTTAGCAACACACCTACACTTTGTTCTGTTTCCTGCCATCCTCTTCAGCTAGGTCCACGATTAACCAAACTCTCTCAACTCCTCCTCCAACACACATGAGCTCCTCAATGTCACTCCTGCACCGACGACCCACTCTTCACTTCAAGTATGGATTTCAATCGGCTGATGGTCTGCATTATGCGAGTTGTCTTTTGACAATTTCCTAAATGTATTCCGATCAATCCATCTGCATTTTCTGCAGCACATTTGTTTAGCGACTGGCTCTCGTGTGTCGGTTTGTTCATCGCCAGAGATTCTTGTTGCTTATTCTTTCTTGCCTGCAGTATGGAACCGGGTGTTGATGAAAGTCTGCTGGAGGCTGTCAGAAATCCGTTTGGTGACACGCTGTCCAACCTTCTGATCCACACAGAAGGGGCAAACTGATATTGGTGTTGAAAATCCGAATCTTTTTCCTCATGCTGAATGCGGACGATTAACAAACTAGT